GACAATCGAGGAGCTATTCACTGAAATTTAAAAATTCAAAATTTATGAAAAAGTATCAGGAGAGCATGACAATCGAGGAGCTATTCACTGAAATTGAAAATTTTAAATTTGAAAATTCCAAATTTTTGGAAAAGTATCAGGGGAGCATGTGATTCGAGAAGGTATTCACGGAAATTTAAAAATTCAAAATTTTTGAAAAAGTATCAGGGGAGTATGAAAATCGCGGAGGTATTCACCTACTCAGAACTCACGATTTTTCTCGAGAATTTTCATAATGGAAGATATCCATCTCGCCCTATTGAAAAAAAAATCTATTTTCATCTCTCAATAAAATTCAATCTTTTTTTGGACTAATATTTGATATAAATAGATTTTTTTTTCTCACACAAATCATTATTTAATTAAAATGCTGTATTATATTATATTATATGTATATATATGACCAAAAACCTTACCTTCTTTTTTTTAAAAGAGATCTGTGGAGGACTGATAATCGATGACTGTCTTTAGAATGGTAGAAATAATTCGAATAACCAATGTCTGCATCGGGTTGAATCCTATAAAGTGTTAATAATAAAATTTGTGAATTAAATTCATCCGATATAATGCCAATGAAATTTCAATTCGAAAGTTTACGGAAAAATGAAAAAAAAAATGCATTGAAAGATATCCGTAAAGCCATTCCATCATTTTTGAATGTAGACTCTCTCCCAACAGCGTTATAATTCATATTCCCCTGTACCAACCGGCAAAAGGAGCGCTCATCCGGCGATAAGTGATAACAACCCCTTCTCTCTTTTTATAACACTTTTTTTCATCACTGCCAACCAGAAATATATGGCTCTGAAGATTTGAGATTAGAATTTAACGGCTGATTCTGTTGACACTGATATAAACTCGAAATGGATTTTTTTTACGACCCCTTTGTGATGATAAATAAAAAAAAAGTGGAGTGCCGTTTAATTCAAGGTTTTCTGATGGAAAAGACGATGAGAATCTCGGGTACGTTAAATCCGATCTTCAAAAAGGTGCATCGATGTTTGAGAAAGCCCTTGAGGGTTAACTGGGTGCCAGGGTGGCGCCCAAGGGAAGAGAGGTGATGGCTGATCCTGTCCCACCCCATCGTAAGCCGAGACTAAGAGGCTATTAGTTAGCTCAGGCTTGCTTGGACTAACAACGGCTACTCACACCACCCTGTACCTGACATCAACGATAGTGGACTATCCCTTTCACCAACTACAGAGATCTTGTCTACCTGTTCTACATAATGTCCTCACAGTATGCTGGCTTAACAGATAAAAATACTTAGTGAAGGAGAAATTGATAGGGCCACTATCATCTTACATTATTCAACAACTCACAACATTACACCATTTATCTAATTTTCGGATACAATCGCACTCGAAGACTACAGTCAAATATAAATCCACGATTCACCAATTATATTTCATTCCGAAAACTTCTTTCCATCCAAAATATTGATAACTCAATTCTCCCTCTCCCGGTCTTTAATGACACCTTAATTTCACATACGCAAACTCAATACGAACTTTATAATGCACAGCTCTGTTAGTTTAAAACTTAGTAGAATAAATCTTACGTACGAGACGCTGACATTTACACTCACCCCATGACGACTAGAATAACATTTCAAACTCGATTAGTAGTCTGAGCACGTTCGTTATTAGCCATTCTCGTGAGAGTCCGGGCTTGAGGAAGGGGTTGTTGGGTTTACACGTACATCCATCACAGTATATATCCGGAGGAAATCAAACTTCAGGAGTGGAGAATGTGACGTTGAAAGACCTGACGGATGCTTACCAGATCCATTGAATGCCTCATCCAGCCCCAGCACCTCCACACCGTCTCAATCACCGATCCTCTTTCAAAATAATTTCTTCTATCGTAGATATCCCATTGTAACTCACCCCCATCGGATACTGAAATAACTCAACACAATGTACAGCTCAGGTTGTAAAATCCACTTTATGAAAATGAAACACGAACGTCGGAGTAACGCCCGTGCGTTACGATCATTCGACTCGATGAAATTGAATTAATCAACAACGAATATTACTCTGTATTAAGAGATTCTTCCTCCGTTGAATCCCTTCGTTTAAATATTCATGCATTTTATATCCTTCGGAAATTTACGTTGAAAAGTCATAAACCAGCGAGATTAAATGTCTTGAGGTGTTAAAAATAGACGCCCAGGGGTTGAAGGATGTGCAACCCTCGGCTTCAGGTAATGGGTGATCGTAAAACCACCAAATGACACTAACACACGAGTCTCAATGTTGAATTACAGTTGGTGGATGTTCTGTGGGTAAAGACCATGCGAAGCCTGACCCATGTACTTTCACAATGGTTTATATTTTTACGAGTGTCGTGCGATTTCATTTGGAATTTAATACCGCTCTGGAAAAGAAGTTATTTCCTGTCCTTTCCATGCCCATATTTAATTTTATAGAATTTCATTTCATAACTCTAGATGAAAGAGTCCAGTGATAAAAAATATTCAAGACATTGTCGACAATTTCCTCCTAGATTCACTCGTGAATTATTTATATTCGGACTTTCTGAGAATAAAAATATCAATGAAATTACTCCATTAAAATTCCCCTATAAATCCCAATCACTCCGCAGAGGATTATATTTCTTCTATTTATTTCATTGATGCCGAGTTCTCCCGAGGGTAGTTTTTAATACAAATTGCCCTTCACGAGATGGAATGAACCGGAATACGACAGAAATGACAATTTTCCACCCACAAAAAAATTCCCCCGGGGGCTCGTATAAGCTACTACTTTTATCGCACATCCATGTGTTAACCATGAGCCGATCCTTGACAAGGGTCTCAAATCGAACGTGATTCGTTGCCTTTGGAATGCTCGGCAGACAAGAAAGAGAAGGGAAGTGAGGTCCGTTGGCTTTTTTTTTTAAGGCTAAAAAAACTACACGAGGAATCCTCTTTATTTTACGATGGCAAACGTCCAAAGGCGACTCATCGTTTGGCCTTCGATCCCGTGGAATTTCAAAGTTACCCTCACTGTAGTTTTCAGAGGGTCAAAGCACGTCCAACAGAATGGCATCAATATTCCCCCACGTTAAAGAACCCCTTTCTTACCCAAATCCGCAATTTTATCGCAAAATCAATGCATTCAAAATGACCAGTGATCGACGCACTTTGAGTTGAATAACGATAGCCCCCTGTGGTAATGGGGTCGTTTTTTTTTCAGTCGATGGACTTGTCATCGAGAAGTTGAAAAAGTAAAGAAGGGAATTTGAGGAATTGGAGTGTATGCTACCGCGTCTACTGCGGGGTTAATTCGATTTACTTCAAAACTTGTTATTGACGAACTCCCTCCACAGAGATAGAATTCTCTTTGATCCAGAGTCACACGGTGAATTCTGAACATCTGAGCAATTGGAAATGCTCAGAGAGGGCATGAGTATGGACTAGACAAAATGTTGGAGTGATGTACGTACTGGTCTCTATCGTGAATAGTAAATCATCCAAGAGTGATGAAAAAAATCTGAATCACTCCTGAATTTTTCTGTTATCTCATTAGAAAACTCCCATTTACTTCTCATACATTTAATTTTCACGAAATGATATGAATTTTTAAATTTGGAGAGAAGTTGAGAATATTTTTCAAATGGAATGCAAACATTTGGAATATCGGTGATGTAAAAAGAATGGGATAACTCGTGGGAACTTACGTATGTAAATGGTGAAAGGGCTGACAATATCAAGTTGTGGTGAAATCCCCGTGAATGGAATATAGTATGCATGTGATGTTTAGACGGTGACAATAGTGAACAAAGAGTATGTTAAACAGTGGAGAGTAGCTGGTCAATATTTGTTCTGCCTTCGATTACAAGCTCGAGCCAGCTGGTTCAGTACTCTTGGTACTCATCAATTATCTCTGATATTGAGGGAGAAGATTTGACCCCAAGTTTGCACAAAACTCCCACACCTGTGTTTGGAAATAAGGGCAATATTATTGAGAGGTACATCAGGACTGAATAATCAGAGTCAATGAAATTGTCGTGCTGAATGTCAACTATCCTCGGATAATCAACACCACTTTATTTCAATTGATTTACCTACATAAATTATATCGATATTCAACGATTCGTTACTTAGTCTCTTTCTTGTTATTTAATATATTAGGAGAAATATTCTCCATCATCCATACAGCGATGAAAATAAACTCGAATAATTTCCTATGATTACTTCATCAGTGATTGAATTGAATGTACATCGGCAAGTGTTCGCCGTTAGTATCGATAGCTTTGTACAAAATAATTCAAAGCAACTTACCTCTGGGGCATTACCCACGTGCAAAGTATTCACTATAGTAAATCATCCAAATGAAAATCTACCCCCGACAACCATTTGATATTGAAAAAAATTGCAATTTGAGATTGTCCAGACCCATTGTATTATTAAAACCTCTACACTCCGTCCGGAATACGCAACGGTAATTAGACATTGGCCTGAATTAATCACTCGAAACATTGGTGAATTCGGGGGCCAATTCAACTAGCTCGTATCCGAAATGAATTTTAAATATTGTGTCAGGTTTGACTGGCAAAAGTTGTCAGATGCTATGTGAAGTCAAACAACACTCATTAATTGAAAAGATTAAAGCTAGAGCGAAATCTTAGCTATAATTTTGGCATTGATTGAGGTGACGAGGGAGCTGTGAATGTCTGTATCTCATCGAGTGATATTTTAGCAGCTTGCTGAAGATCATCCATGCTCTTTCTCGTTTTTGTTGATATATCATCAAACTGACGGCGGGTCTGAGTTAAGAGCTCATCAGTTGACTTTACAGCACTATTTGCCAAACCTTTCACTTCAGTATCCAACTTTATCACCCACTCCACAGCTTGTCGTCCCTGATAACACGCAATATAAAACCGCGGTATAAGAGGATAATCAGAAGATGATGAAATCACTTCTTGATAAATATTTCAAACTCACCATTCCAGCGTTGAAGGAAATTTTTTTGGTAAGTAATTCCTCCATGTAAGACGTGAGGGGTACACCCTGGACTGTGACTATCGCTTCCTGCTTCAGGAGTGTCTTCGTCTTGTCCTCCGGATGAGGAACGTACTTCAGGGTCTCGTCAACAGCTATGTAATTACAGAATGTCAACTGCAACAATAATATTCACAAAACTCAACACCCAGAGTCCCATTTACCCGAATTACCGAGACAATATATAATATACACGATATACTCCCATAATTCATTAACTTCAATTCTTCATTTGTATTTCACGTTTATATCTTCCGCCGGCATTTTACTTCCCCACTTACTGCCGGTTAAAAAGCATGTTTCGTGGTGAATCAGTAAATATTTGACTGATTCGCAGATTCACGGGAATGATCAATAGCAGTTTTCTGCATGTGAGGGTTTTGGTTTGTACATCAAATAGAATTTGGAGCCATCACGCGAGGCCTCTTTTACTGTCTTGTTAGTGCCAGATGAGAGACTAGTCTCGCAGTATCAATTTGCAAACACGATAGCTAATGCATCCCGTGTTTCACGTCGTTAGAGTTTCCGAGTTATTGATGAATGCTGGCATTTTTTTTTGTGTCAATGAAAACGATTGAATGGTCTCCATAAATACCAAAATACCACCAACGCGAAACGAGATAAATTGCTGGATATAGACCCTTTTAATGAGTTAAGTATACCAACCAACAAAGGGACATTTTCAATACAAAGTAGTTTATTCCTGGTATGAATGGTTGAGTGTACAATGCACATTTGCAATGTGCCAAAGTATTTTCAAACGCAGGTTTTAGCAATGGTATTATAACGTGCGCACATTTCTACGAGGTGAGTGCGAGTTTGTTGAAGGGAGCGAGATAGGATGTACGGGGAAGTACACAATTGAGTGGTGGTGGGAGGAGGTAAAAGAAGGGGGGGTACAGACAACCAATGGCAATAGTGCAATACGTTTCGCGGGAAAATTAACGCCCGCAGGCATTGTTGGCCAGGAAAGCGTTGTAGGATGCGGCGTGCCGGTGAGTACCCCACAACGACGCCATATTAGCAATCAGTGAAGCCAACTGTGTTACTCCCTCTCTTCTACTATCTCACTTACTTCACTCGCTTTTATCTCTGAGCTTTCTACCCGACTATTTTCATCCTCCAGTGCTTTTCTTCGATTTCAGAAACCTCTGACAACTTCAGTTACTCGGATTAACCCCTTTTTCCCCCTCCGGTGAAAACCGTACCAATGACATGAGATTATGTATTTGGAGATTAATTTTATTATGCTGTAAAATATTTCAACTGTGCGGTAATTATTGCAATTATTCGTTTACGTACCATTTCACATACCCCAGCGAATTATCGTTAAAACGAAATCCCCAAAATGGCAAAAAAAAATAAATAATGGATTGTAAACTTTTCGTTGCTTATGGTAAGCGAAATTATCAGAGAGGCAAATTTGTTTATCAATTGCTTTTTTTTCTGGCAAACAGAAACGTACAGGCTGTACTTAATTAATCAATGGGCAGTGGATGCGGCGCTCGTAACGAACCCGAAACTAAGGGCAAATATTTTTCATTAATCGAGAAAATTATTGGGAATTCTCTGATGATAATAAAACAAAACCTCGAACAATCACTGATATCAACCGTTCCTCGATGGGAAAGCAGCTGACAGTTATCGGTTGGAAAGCGATATGAGCTCCGTATAATTGAACGTCGGTTAAACCGCGGCAGTTAATTGGCAGAAGTGTAATTAGTTGGGTTTGAACCGGCACTGCCGAGTGGTGGGCGATGCGAGAGATTAATATCCAAATTGGGAAATGAGAAAACCATTTCGACTCCAACCGACACAGGATGAAATAACGCACAAATTTGATTAGGAAATGTATCACTGAAACGAATTGAATTTGGCGTGTAGATAAATAAGATATCCTGATCACTCTGATAATTGCACGAGCAGTCGGCAAATTAATTAACTTCCGATAATAATCATGAAGTTTTTTTTTCTGTTGAAAAATCCGATCATCGTGAGAATATCGTCAATTATTTTTTTATTAAAATTAGATGAAGTTGTTGCTTTGTTAAATATTCCAGCTTTTCCATGACAAAATATCTTGTTTCTCAATTCTCCGTGCGTTTTTTTTTTAATGACCACCGGTGGTGTTACATTGCGGTATCAAATGGCCCCACGATGCTCGTGTAACTTTGCCTCGTTAAGAATACGACGACTGGTAAGGTGTCGACTAAAGTATTCCCGGTAATTCCACCTTCGGGCAGACTACATTGTTAAAACTATACACATACATATGCTGGAATACGAGGAGGATGAACCGCGAAGAGAGGATCGAGTGAAAAGACATCCCCCAAGAGGTACCCAAAGGCGAGAACCAGAAACGATAATTGACGTAAGAAAAGTGGAAACACGATAGAGATAGTCTTATGGATGTCATTACTCCTGGTGAAACACCTCCGAGGAGTCGGGAGAATGTTCTAATGTCTATGGAATGGGAAAATCTCAGGGCTGAGACACACCCGAAGAAAAAAATAAGACTCGTATTAAAATTCCACAGGTCTTAACTCGAGACTTTCCAAAGTTTAAACCCCCAGAAATCTCAATTTGACTCTCCGCAGTCTTAAATTAAACCAACACTCGAGAAAAAAGAAAAATCTTGTCTTAAATATTTTCAAGTACTTCCCACGAGACTTGAACGTGAAAAGATGTGCTTTAATCAAATATAGCCTGTACTTGTCTCTTTGTTTGTCATAAACATTATGACTCCATGAATTTAATTAATTTCAATGATTGTTTTTTTCACGTGCAACCAAAATCGTACCCTTTCCCCTGTTTATTCAGCCTCCAACCCCGGGACTATCTCACTTCACCAAAAATAAATAAATAAACGCGGAAAAATGTTAAAGTCAACAACGAAGAGTAACCAACTTTTGGCTATTCTTTTTCTTTTTTTTTATTTTAAACCTTGTATTTATTTTTGCAACCCCCTCTCGGTGTATCCCAAGGGCGCATTCTCCGGTGGTTTTCGCAGGAGCGACACGGTACCTGCATCGGTTAATTGAAAATTTTTCTCATCGTCAGAGTGGGTGAGCAACACCCGCACCTCACACCAATGTTTGCACAATTCAAACCCTACGGACACATTGCACCCCCTTTCACCCACCCCCGTCACCTATCACTGTGCTTTCGACACTCGTATTCCACCCGTTTGCTTTTCATTTAACGAACTACGAGTTTATAGTATATGCACACAAGAATCTCAAACAGAGAGAGAGATCAGCGAAAAAAAAAATAATGGAATAGCCATTTTCAATGTGTCTTTTTCTGGAAAATCGTCGTGGCTCCGTTGTGGCCATTTTGTCCGATGCAAACAGTCGTGAGGATTTATAGTTTGAAAATTTGTGAATTCTCGTTGGAAATGTATTCAGTGAATTTTTCTCCGCTGACAAATTGCAGATGGCAAGTGAAGAGTTACATTTTCACCGCCCCCGGGGGATTGATCCAGTATTTTTTTTTTGCATGCACAATGACAACTGTATATTTATTAAATTCATTGAAAATAGGAGTGGAGGACGCGGAGTGAAATCTAGTCGGTGAAATATCGAGTTAAAATGTAATAATGGTGGGATAAAATTCAGTCGGTCTGGTCTGATGAAATGGAAATGGAGCAAATGTTGATCCATTTCACTTTTAAAATTCACTTAAAATCGGGGTTTATCCTCGTTAATACGGGCCCCATTGCCAATTTATTGAAGAGGATATGAGGATTGCATCCGACGTTCTACACGATTTAGGGTATTCACTTGGGTCTATTCAGCCACTACAGACTACCCACTCGACGGTAACGGCTTCCTCTCACGCACAAACGCGTCCGTCGGCTTTTCAAGTGAATCAGAGGGGAGTTCATACCAGTTCATCCCAGTTCATCCCAGTTCATCCCAGTCAGGCATTACAAGCCAACTCCAGTAAAATAGCATAATGAATCAGCGCATGATTGCGATACCGCAAACGTCACTACCGCACCTCCAACGAATCCCCAGAAATTTTTTCAAAATCTTTAAAATCCTCAGTAAATCTATCCGAATTTTCCAGATAAAAAATTCATGCGTAATTCAACCCTTCGCCCTCTAAATTTCCCACGAAAAATAGTCGCAAACACGATGAATTGATTCTATCAGAAAAAAAAAAAAAACTCCCCATAAAACGCGAAATAGATTTTTCAATTTTTCATTAAACCGAGACAGCTCGTCCCCCGGGTTTCAATCTACCCATGGAAAATACAAAAAACGTGAAAAAATGAAACAAAAGCAATGGATTTTTTTTTCTCTCCATTTCGTTTCCTTTTTGGACAAATTTTTATTTTTTTTTTTCAACACGGATGAAATGCATATCCCAGACACGAGCTGTGGTTTTTTCTCGTGTTACCCAACGCGTGCAATTTGTTGTTTTTATGATTTAGCAAAGCCTAGATAATAATTCAGTCGAGTTGGAGGGAGAGACCGCCAAAAGCGTCTGTGTGCAGTCACCCAGGCAACAGTATATAGGTGGCTTTCTCTGTATATATGTGAAGCATGTACCTCGGCTCTCCATCAACGGTCGGTCCACAGGGAGCCGACGTTCAGCCACTAGAACGTTTCCCTATATCTATCACAAACCCCCAAATGTATAGCCGATCCAGCGCATCTCCATTATTAATTTCCATTCGCAAAAAAAAGGAGAAAAAAAAAACACGTAAAAATTCCATTTGCCGTGATCCATAAAAGCACTCGAAACAACCGGGGGCAGAAAAAAGGGAAACAGTGCCGCTCAATTATGCAGATGAGAAGTCGTAAAAACGTGACAATTTTTTTTTTATTCTGCTTTGTTTTCATTTATAATTATTGCTTCTGGGTGACAGCCTCGCGAGACCGATTTCAGGTCGAACTCTGTTTTTATCGGGTGTGATTACTCGTCTGACAAAATGCTATTTTTACTCTAGTATTAAAAACATTTAAAAAATGACACGTTTTTGGGAAGTGAGAATGGTACACGCGCCGTAATAATGAGATGAATCTTTCTTTGAGATATTGTGGATAATAAAAATTACGGAGTATATAATGTAATAACTGAAATTCGATAATTACGGGAATTATGATTGGATTAATCGAAATTTTAAGAATTTTTCCATCCTCCATTTCCATTTCTGTGCTCTCCATTAATTATCGTGTAATTATTGAGAGAAAATCCATAATTTCCATTGGTTTTCTCGTCGAATAAATTCGCGATTGGATTGCATACGTTTCCAATGCGATAATTAATCAAATTCATCGAATTTCATTCTCCAGTAATTTTCTCATCAAATTATAACCATCACCGAGTACCTTTCACATTCCAAAAATCCAGCATTAACTGAAACAAGAAAAAATCCCCCGAAAAAAATTCCATCAAAGGATTTCCACGAATACTCGAAGTGTATTGATACTCATAAATATTTCCTCCCCGCGTGACACTAATTCCCTCCCTCCACCCCCCGTGCCGTAAAGCTGCGCATCAAATATACACATCGTCAACTCTTTGACAATTTTTGTTTTCCCACCTCTAAAACCGGAAAAAACAATTTCCCGTTGACGAGATGATCGAACGTGTGAATAGACGATTCGCTAGTCACTCGCGTCCATTTTTTTCCTCATCTTTTTCGTTCCCATAAAAACAAGGCAACACGAGATAGGGTAAAAAAAAAATGAAAAATAGGATACGAGGTGAATTGAAAAAAAAAGAAGTGGGATAAATATTGCTGGGACCGGGTTTTTTTTCCGTTGAAAACGCAAATGCATCCGGTGTTACCTGTAAAAGCCGATTGTGTACACAATGGTGAGCATCGCGCAATTTTAAGGTGAAGTGAGGGGGATGGTGGAAGGGCACATAGAAAGGAGGGGTAGAGAGAGGGCTAAATTGCTAAGAGATATTTGCCTCTGGGGATTCGAACCGGTGGTATGGGCAACGACCCGCGGCCCTGGACCCAGGGCTTATGTAGAATACATCGGAAACGCGAGAGCCGCGGCCCCCCTAGCCAGGGGGTTGCGGGGGGGGGGGGGGGGGAGGAAAATGGGTGGAAGTGGGTGGAAGTGGGTGGAAGTGGGTGGGCGCAGGCGCTGGATAAAGCAGCCGAAAACCTCTTGGCCTCCCCCCACATCTCCACAACTCCCCTTTTAACCCTCTGACACGACCCGAGGGAATCGTTCAATTTTAGATTAAGCCACAGGATGTAGAGAAAGGTCGCGGAATTGCCCGCGAGATCTTTTACCAAGGGCCCCTCTGGAAAACCATACACATATTCCTCACCAACCCTCCCAACCTCCCTCTTCTCTTCCACCCATCGTTGGGTGGATAGGTGGAAAAGCTGTAACCCATATATCCCTCTGGCGACTCGTTTCGCTTTATATGGCTGTACTGGTACAGTTGCTTGTAAATGCGGCACCACAACAAAGGGTTTTAAGTGTTACTGTTTTTAGGAAATAACACATTGTTATTTTTTTTTTTCAAAGATGGCTACTCTTCGGGGAACGAATCATAAAAGAATATCGAATTTACAGACCGGGGTGAATTGAATCGTCGGAGTTATCAATATTTTTATTGACACAAAAAATGAAGACGAGAGAATTAATCCTATGAAACCGTGAAAACGAATAAAATCACTCTGCGCTCCGTTCTCCGTCTAAAATCCCCGATACATGCCGAGAGTACAAAAAAAAATCATATTTTTTTCACGTGTCCATGAATATTGAATAATCGGCGTACTCTATTCATCGATATCACTGAAGCCCGTGGGGCAGAATGGTTCGCCCCCTCCCCCTGGAATCCATAAAAGCCACTGTTCAAAGAATCGTTCCCACCATAAAAGATGAAAAAAATATAAAAAAAAAACTCGGCATAAAAATAACAGCCATGAAATCTCACCCAGCGAATCGGAAACTCCATACTATACAGTCACATTGTCGATAAATGGCAAAGATCTACCCCGTAACGGCTTTCCCCCAGTGGTTCGGATAAGGTTGCTTCGCACGTGGCTTTTTTTTTTCATCCATTTCCCTCCCCCCTTTCTCCTTATTTTTCATTTCTCCGAGCACCTGAGGATCGTCCATCATTGGCCTTAATGCATCGGGCGTCTTACTTCATCGCTATCGTTTTTTTCCTCTAGATCCCTCAACAATACGTTGTCTGGTTACCTTTATAACCCACCCCCTCACCCCTTTGCCCCGACGCTTCCTCTCCACCCACCACCCCCCATCGACTTTCATATTCTAATGCCGAACTGGTTTGTACCACACACTGGGTAATGGACGCATCAATAACCCATCAAATCGATTTCTCCTCGAGACGTGAGGTGATTTCGATCACCTGGCAGTTTACATCAATGAAGAGAAAATTTATGATTAATGCCACCATCATGAAAATCGAAGGTACACCTGAAGCCGATGCGAATCAGTAGCTGAGTGAAAATGAAAATAATTTACGCGGCGGAAGTAAATAATTTAATTTTTATAAGACAGTGGAGGAAACGTCTGTGACACGATTTATTTTTACGTTCAGTATCTCCATTCTTTTTTTTTTACTTCATATGTCGCTTATTTTCTCCACCTGTATGACTGCAGTGTTAGATATATATATATATAAAAAACGATCCTAGTGCAGTACCGCAGTGGTACCCCACTGAATCCAGGATTTAGATAAATCGTACGATCTGGGTTTTGTACGTGCACGTCATTCCAAGAACGCAGAGACGACAGGTAATTTTTCTGCTACCTACCGAAGACTCTGCTACTGCCGTTGCAATTTCGCACGGTTATTTGTGAAAAAGAGGGGAAAAAAATAGAAGAAATGGTGGGGCTGGGGGGGCAGGGGGGGTCGTAAAAAAAGGCAATTGAGAAGGAAAGCCCGGAAACAAAACTAATTTCGAGTCAGGATAAAATTCCATTTGTCGTTGTGTCAAAATATAAACTCAGAGACATGTAGAGATGAAGGGAGTCGAGAGTGAAACGCGTGTAACTGAAAAATATATCGAGGAAGTAATACTCCACGGATGGGCATTGACATGCAGACTATTTGGTTTTCCCCGAGACGAAATTACAAACTGTCTCGTCTACCATGTGCTATTGTGCAGAAACTGTTTTAGTACGACGGAGTATGTGTTTGATAATCGATTTTGGTGGTGCAATAGTTTTGCCCCGGGGTTATGAGATACGAGGCCACAAGCTCATCGAGAAACGTTGCTCGTTTGATATCCTGTTGGCAAGCTGATCACGAGCTTCATAATTCCGAACGCGAGTCGAGATCAAAATGGGCACCTTTGAGAGGTAGATGTTGAAGGAGTGAAGTGTAGAGTGTTAAAGGCAAATAAAAGGGTCGAGGGATTTGCCTACAATTTCGCTTTGCAGATATCGCTTGAACGGTCAGAGGAAACTTAATTCAAGTATCTGGACCAACATGTCTTCCACTAACTTTTATAACCCGAATTTATTTATTATCGGGACCGTAATGCGGTAGAAATTATTATGAACTTCGCAACCAGATATGATAATTTTTTTTTTGGGAGGATTTTCGAGGATTTTCATTTTACTACGACAATAGACGAGTCGAGAGGAAATTCCACTAGTATAATTTTGATACCTTTGAATTTCCATTCAATTTAAAACCGAGAGCGTCAATGTATCTCTTATTCATTGTGAAAATTCAATGGATAAATTAAAATTGAATACAGATCGAATATTCTGTCTCACTGGGTTTTCCATAAATTAGTGATTCCGAAAAATGCATGCATTTTCGACCTGATCATAAATACATGTTAAAATGGAATAAAATTCCAATGAAAATAGAATTCAACCATAATTCCCTTCCCTCAGATATTCTCAACTGAAATAAATCTCGGAGTCGATAGAATTATACTCTTAATAGACTGGCCTTACTTACATTTCTCGTCTTCAGGACCATTTCTTTACTGGCTGGATTCACTTCACTCCTTTCACTGGCATAACACTCCTTAGCATGCCCAATTAGCTGAAATAGTTCGAATAATCCAATTAAAATTCAATTACAAATAGAGTTCTAAGAACAGCAGAAAATCTTTCCGAGCACTTAAACTTTTAATCTATCACGAGGTTTGAAGCGTTGAGAGTTTTTTTATTTTGAAAATGGATTTGTCCGAGTGACAATCGGAGGGGAGAATTGGACAATCCTCAACGTAACAACCATGTAAATTCCAAATTAGCATGAATAATTGTGGAATACTTGTTCCGCATCCGTTAACTAAAATCCTTCCTCTCCCCTAGCCTCCTTTATACAGCGAAAGACGCTAATTGGGGCCCACTTTAAGTGCTCGTGAATTATTGTTCTACCGTTTAATTATGTATTCTAATTACAAGCTCCAAACGGATCATCGTCAAATGCTTAATTAAAGCGCACTAGAGGTCCTCCTATTACTTTTTCACTTGCCATTGTGGTGAACGATTGGCTCAAATGCACATACACACTCATAAAAAGGAAAAATTCAATTATTCCAAGTCTTCTATTTTTTTCCCCTCCCCTCGAATTTTCATACTCTCATTGTAATCCTTCACCGCTAAAAATTTCTAGTGAAGTGGAACATAATGACCATTACACTTTGTTCTACAGCGATGGGGAAAATTGTGGGTAAAAATTTCGTTAAAAAACTTTGTAATTAGTTCTGGAAAATTTCATCTACTTTTTTTTTTATCCCTGTACTTGAGAAGTTTCTGATTAAACAAAGGGTGGTTTTTTAATAGCAGAGGGAGAAAAGGCATGATGGGCTTGGACTCAGAAAAGGGGAATGAAAGGATCTCGCTTTGAATGAACTGGGAGAAAAAAATTTCATGATTAAAACAGGGGAAGAATCCGGGTGTTTTTGTACCAGTGGAATACATAAATGTTTTTCCCTCTATTTGCAATGGTTTTTTTTTTACCAACATGTGGTAATGCCAGGGTACATTCTCTCATCGCACCACCTCTTTCAAGTTGCTGCGATCCTGCACCTTCTCTGATTCTCCCCCATTTTTTTTTTATTTTTTTGAGGGATTCAAACTAGTGGGTAAGGAGCTTTTCCCTATGAATAATGGGGGACTGGAATGAGGGCTTCAAATCCTTTGGAACAATTTCAGGAGGAAATGCTAATGGAAGATTTTCGTGTGCAAGGGCCCTCTTTTCCCTTGGAAATTCCAAAAAAAAATATTTTCAAAAGCTACAGCTGTATCGATTTAATTCCTAATCTTGGCACCTACTCATAAATAATAATTTCAATCGATATTTTAAAAAACTGTATTATAAATGGTCTCGTTCTACGTCTCGGCTACTGAATTATTTTTCAACTACAACTGAGACCGAGTGGATCTCAGAAATTCATAAGAAAAACGCCCCAACGATCAAAAATTTTCATCAAAAAAAGTAAAATGATGTATTCTCCGAGGGCTTCAGTAATGCCCCCTTTTTCTGTTTCTTGAAGTTAGCCTTGGAAAGTCGCCAACCAGACGCTCATTATGAAAGTTCATGTAGCCGATGCTGTTTTGTAATTTCCCTGGCGTATCTCACAGCTTTCACGCCCACCCATCTCCTTCATTCTTCCCTCCTCTGCACCCTCGTCCACCATGAAACCCTTCCATCTTCAACTACGGTTCTTGTCTCAGGAGACTTTACCGAAACTTTCGAATATCCGGCTCTGGGCCATCGTCCTAACTCCCTCACTAATTCAAGACCCTTCTTTTTTGTTTATGAAAACTTAGCCGAGGGGAAAAACCAAGGAACCACGCTATTGTACGTAAAATATGTACGACGAGTTCGGTATTCCCTCGAATTAAAAACGAGTTTAAACAAGAGATGATGAGAAGGCTTTAATTAACTTTTCCTTGGCAACGCTTTCCAGAAAGATCATTAAAAATTTTCTCCATCAACAAAGACAAATTTGAAAAAATGCCTGAGTTATTTATTCAGAGTTCTGACCTTCCCCAATCCACGCGACGTCACTCAAAAATAGTCTAAAATTTTTTCCCCCTAATTTCATCTCTGATGTTCACGAAAGAAGAAAAGAAGGGGTTCTCATGATTCTCATCATTAAATCTGACGTTTAACCTAGTAATTCACTCTCGCCAACCCTCGACCATCTGCCCTTTGCCCTTTGAAATAAAAACAATTACGAATCTCTCTGTCACCAAAATCCCTGGCACGTGCCAACGATCCCAAAGTCCACTTAAACCTTACATAAGTCATCACAAGCCCAAAGCATGAATGAATGTCGCACTAGCTCATAATAAAATCTAATTGAAACCATCACGAAACGATCACCCACGTCACATTCAAGTTCACTGCCAATATGTCAAAGTTCAGAATTCCCTCATCTCTCTCCCATTATAATAATTACAGATAATACATACCGCCTGCGCCCAATTCGGGAATTTGAATTCACTGACGACGAGTCTGTGCGTATGTAGAACCCCATCGACAACTTTTCTGTCAATAACATCAGTCCCCAGAACAGCTGTATTCATGGGATTTGGATATTTTCGAAGTGCTGCCTGCGCAACTGTCTCCCATGGATGACTGAAATTCCAAAAAATCCCATGTAATCTCCTCACCACAAAGATCATTCGTAAAAATCATCCTCCACCGAGGTTATGACGCCAAAGACTTGATGATTACGATAACTCACTTGAATACATGCTCATACGTCCAGATCTTCATGATTGAACTTGTGTGGATTTTCTCGACGTTTTTCACTGACTCAAACTGCAATTTTTATTAATAATTACCGAGATTTAGCCACAAACTTGGTCTGTACGTCAAGTTGTGTGGAGAGAGCTGATGTAAGAGGCAGAATCGCGTGGTTATTTTTCCTGTGCCCCTGGTGGGTGATGGCATAACTGTCAACTGCATCGTCGGCAAAACAGATGTGGAAAATGCCAAACACCCTTTCACGACGAGGAAAACACTTACACATGGTGACCAGTGTTCATGAGAGAATGATTAGTCAGGAGGTGGTGATGGTAGTGACACCGGAATTGCCCATGACGAGGAGCGTGTCATAAAATGATCGGAAAAATCATCGACGTTACGACCTTATTCGCTTGAGTTCAAATTTATTAATTTTATCCCAGAGATTATGACATGATGGATTTTTTGGGATTCTCTGTGGCGTTGAGTTAGTTACCATGGGCTCCAGGTTGAGGTAATATTTTTCAATCATATGTTTGGGGTAACATTGCTTTCACCTGAATTGTTTCGTCATTGTCATTTGATTTTTTAATGTGAGAACTTCTTCCTTCATCGCACTCTGCTCTATCTATTGTCTTTACGCTTTTTCAGTCAAGTTCAGTTAAATTCAGGTTGAGGGGAGGCTTTCAGATATTACTATCTTGGTTATCTGGTTGTTGGCTTTCTGAGAGACAAGGAAATAATAATCTCCAATTCCAAAACTTTTTTCTCTGTGCACGATTTAATGTTACCAGGGAGAATGTCAAGCATCTGTTCGAGTGCTTCTGCGAGGTGGCCGCCCCAGTGGGCGAAAAGGCAGCTTGGATTCTCCAGAGATACCCGGACAGCTTCGGTGATCAGGAGCTGCTGAAATCTGTTCCAAAATTTGCGTATCCATGTGAATTTGAAAAGTAAGTGATTAACTGTCTCGACGAATATTTAATAATAATCACTGGAATTTTCTGGAATGTCAATAGCTCGATGGTGCAGCACTTCTCCTTCGTCCTAACGAGTATTGATTCGAAATGGACATTTGGCTTCTGCAGACACGACCCTAAAACCGAAACTGCCCTCGTAGTGCTCAGCTCACTCCCCTGGCACGAGATGTTCTACAAATTACTGAATCATATCGCAACCTTAACGTCAAGCTCGAATGGGGAGCTCTGGAAATTCCTGGGTGACGTACACGCGAGTAATGTCCCAATGCCAGGAACATCAGTAACAATTCCCCTGCCTGATCCCAGCATCACCTACGTATGCCAAAGTCCCAGGCAATTTCAATTGCCTAGTATACCTGAGAATCGAAATTTAACCGAGTACTTCAGTGCTGTCGATCCCCACAATATGATGATTATCTTCGCATCAATGCTGTACGAGAGGAGAATAATATTCACGTCTAAGAGATTATCGAGGCTGAGTGCGTGTGTGCAAGCCTGCAATGCTCTCATATATCCCATGATTTGGCAGCATATTTATATACCAGTTCTACCCCTCGCACTAATGGACTATCTGTTAGCACCCATGCCGTTCTTGATTGGAGTGCCCACTCCAATTCTTCAGGTTGTTAATTAAATTCTAAAGAGTCGACCTATGGAGTTTTCGAGGAATATCTTCCAATCTGACAGCATATTCCTCGAAAACTATTAACTTCATCATAATGATAAATGAATGTGAAAATCCGGTATTTATCGAAAAGTCGCGAAATTGAATTGACGTTCTGTTGCAGAGAGTTCAGAAAGCTGATTTAGGTGATGTGGTTATCCTCAACGCTGACAGTAATTGCATAGAGTCGCCATTTCAGGATCTAGAGTCTCTGCCGCAGGATGTGGTGAGAAACTCAGTTTCACAAAAATCAAATTATAGTTAAAATTAGTTTTCATGGCATGATTTCGCTGAATGCAGGTCACGAATCTGAGAAAAGCATTGCGTAACAGGCCAGCACTTCTGGGCGACGGTGTCTCAAGAGCATTTTTACGTGCCTTGGTACAGCTGACAGCTGGCTACAGAGAGGCGCTGACACTTCAGCAGGGGGAGCGTATTACCTTCGATGAAAATGCATTTGTCGAGAGCAGGCCATACTCCATGCAGCCATTTCTCAGAAAAATGCTCGAGTTGCAAATTTTTCAACAAGTAAAAGCATTTTTTCCTCCATTTTTCCTTCATCAGTGAATTCATTAATTTACTCCAGATACTCAACTCAATTCATATTCAAATAATATTCCATTCTAAAAATTAATGTAGACGTAGCGATGCATAAATTTAGTGATATTGATTAGTGATGAAAAATTATCTTGATTGATCTTGGGAATTAATTGGAGAATGCAATTAGTTTATAGAGGAAAGACTGCACATGCTCAATTCAGGCCTCGGGTTCTCCGATGAATTTGAAATGGAGGCGTGTAATTATTCGGACAAGTCGAGTAGTAAATTAATGCAGCAATACCGTGAATGGACGTACGCAATGAGAAAGGAGGGCTCGGCATTTTTCCGGAGTGTCAAGGACAAAGCTAATCCCGCGGTTAAACTCGCTGTCAAGTCGGTTAAGGATAAGGGTAAAGATATGAAGACTGTGTATAAGGGATTCAAGTGGAAAGGTAATCATTATAATGTGGATCAATTGTATGGGGGTTTAAGTGATGCGTCATGCCTAGTGGATTTAATTTTTAGGTCGCTCGAGGGCCAGTGAAAATAGTATGCGCTTTCATCAGCCTCGATCTGCACCCAGTTCACCCACACTCGATAGACGAACTAATATGTTTGGGAGTGGTTCTAAATCACCCAGTGGATTTACAGCCACTACAAGCTACAGGAAGGAGCTTAGGATGCGGAATAGTAATGTTCCTGACGCGAGGTAATCTTTGGGGAAGGGCTTGCACGATACTTAATCCTGGGGAATTAATCTCCATGATAATGAGCTGATTAGACCTCTTACAAAATTTCAGAGTAACAATTCGATTTAAATAATATACGAATTTGAGTGAAATATCAATCAACGGAGATAATGAAATTTTTTGTGAATACATTTTTTATATCTCTGTTATGAATAATCAATTTTTAAACAATTTTTTGGTGGTGAATTTTTGGCTTTGATGTTGTTAGTAGGAAGCAATACTCACCATTGAGTCCGGGCTCCCCTGAGGAGCCAGACTCACCCCCAGAACGCCTGAACATAGATCTCATGAATGAACTGCAGGACGTCATCTTTCCAAATACTCCACCAGTCGACAGAACCGTAAGTACCTCCCCTCGTCCCCATTCCACCGATTTCTCATTGATCACTGGTTTTTCATCTCAATGGCTTTCTTTATCGTGCAAGGTTTACCCGGTATACAAGCAATACGTTTTAAATCTCATTATTTTTCGTTCTGTTCTGTATTGTATGGTTTTCTCTTTTTAATGAATTAGTAACAGGGCTGGGTAATATTTCTCGAATATATAAATGAAACCTCGTCTCGAGTTATAATGAATAATAATTTTTTGTGAAGCTAATTCGTTACAAAAACTTGACTGTCTCTCTTGGATTCCGATAAATTTCCCAAAAATACAATTATGAATTAATAATTACGGCGACTATTCACTCACGACTTTTATTGGCACAGATATCGGTTTATTTCGAGTGTTTGAAAGAGCCCAGCTCTGTTTATCACGCATTAGATTGAGTGTTTGTTTTTTTTTTGTGGATACAAAATTTCAGTTGAAACCAGTGCGCAGTTTAGACAGCTTGAGACCTGCATGGAGCGGGCGCTTGCGGCACGGCTCACCCTCATCCATTCCCACGAGTGATGCAACCCCATGTCCAAAAAATCCCTCCAATTACCTCATTCCCCCCTGCAATCAAACCATACCATCGAAACTCGCTAAAAAAACGATTGAGAGAATTGTTAAAAATCATAAAGCCCTCGATAAACCATTAAAGGTTGACCCACCAGTTGCGAATGAGTACATAAATCCCACAGCAATCACCAATCCATTCGTCAACGGTGTAACCACTTCCAGCAATCCATTTCGCACTGACATATTTCAAGTTGATGAGGAATCAAAAATAACGAATGATCCATTCGACACTAGTCAAGTGCATTTACCCCTTCTGTTACCAAAAGCATCAATCGAACCCCTGAATGTTCCCACGAGTGGTGACACTCCTCCCTCGTTAAAACCCGACCTCTGCTCAACTAAAGTTAAGGTAATTCACGTGCATTTTGTTTTTTTATTTCACACCAGAGTTTTATTCCATCGATTTTAATGCAGCTTAATCCGAATTCCCTCAATGAATTTCGTTTTCCAATATTTGCAAAATAATTCCTAATAAATAATTATTAGAATCGAAAATAATTTAATCAATTTGCATTAATCAATGACTGTGCAAATATTACGGATTATCACGAGATAAATAAATTCAGAAACTTCAATGATTTTCGGATATTTCACCTAGTGGTTCGATTTTAATTCAGGCAACATCAGAAGTACAGGATCTGATCCGGTTAAGCTCCACAAACAGTGACGACGACTTCGATCCCCTCCTCTCCAAGTCCTTCATGGATCCCAAGCAGATGACCCAGTCTCTTCACATCCCCCAAATGGGGGAGGGTCTGAGTAATCCCTTGTATCCCTATTTCCTTCCAAAAAACAACACCAATGACTGCACCAACAGCACCAACTCTGCAGAAAGACTCGGTGACTTCGATCTCCTGCAGGAGTACGGACTGGACTTCAATAAATTCAGTCTGACTAATGGTGCAGGCGCGACAAAAAAAAATACATGCAGCGAGGACAAGGAATCGAGTGATAAAATCGACGATGTATTCAGCAGCTCCTTCACAGGGTCGACAACAAAGTCCCAGAACAATTGGACGAAATTCGATTAAAATCAGAACAACACGATTTAAATCGTTGAATCATTGTCCCCAGCCTGACAGCCACTTCTGCTGACATATCATAATTTGTAAATAATAATGAATTCGTGGATTCAATTATTTAACGAATAACAATAAATTAAAATGCAATGAATTAAACGAGATGAGCGAGTAGGCGACAATTGTTGAGCAAGACGAACAATTAACGTTCATTTATTGTTTATATTGCGTCAATTTTTGAATCAACACGATGTAAATATTTTTTATAGTTAAATCAAATTGTTTGTTACTGAGAATTTTTTTGTCTCCAGTTTTAACGAGCCAATTAAAACTTAGCGGTTGAATTTATTCAATTAGTTAATACGTTGATCTGTATATTTTAGAGAGTATATACATATATATATTATTAATGATGAATTATTGGCATGCACCGATGGGGGCATGATTTTACACCGAATCCATACCAACGATTATTACCATTAAATCATGAGACCAGTGCAATTTATTATTGCCGAGTTCAATTAAATTTACAACAATAGAAAGTATTACTCGTAAATTAAAGGGAACTGATAACGGCGGAAATACTCGAATTTATTCAAATTATTTGTTGCTCGAGGGTAACTGTCTAATTATCACTCACTATCTTCCAATGAATAATTTTTTTGCAGGTGACGATAAATTGGATCGAGTCGATTTTAATTCATTTCAAGTGGTGAAGCCAGATAAATTGCGTTGATTGATGAAGAGATAATTTTTTACTCGACTCATTCCACTTTCTCAATTCACACGTAAATTAGATTTTTTCTAACTAATAAATACTGTAAACATGCGTTGTATACCATTTACCGACAATATCTTTTATAATAGAAGAAACGCAGAACAACCAAAAGTGAAGCCGAAAAATGAATTAGCACAAGAATAAACAGTGAAATTTTAATGGATGTGGTATTTATTAACTATCGATTTCCTTCGCCTTCTCCCCAAATTTGAATTCTATCAGCGTATCAGGGCTTGCCGAGTTTACAGAAAAGGTAGCCATGGATACGGCGCCCTATGGCCGCTGTTCAACAGTTCACCAGTGGCTGTCGCGAAGGGAGGATCATATAAACAAATCCAAAACCAATCATTCCAAACAGACCAAATAAACAATAAGAAATTGGTGTTAATCAAAGTGCAACTGTTCGACTTTTAAAAATAAATTCTCTGAACCCGTCCTCAGGTGAATAAAAAAATCTATAACATTTTAAAAACCACGACATTCCCCTCTTCACCCCCAAAGCGTAATCGTTTATTATTTTTGATCTTACATTTGTATCGGCATAAATCGGACGCACGTCTCATCGTCGGAAGAATTCTGCACTCTGGTGTATAGGATTTCGGCTTTCACCCCCGAGAAACCGGTAAATCCATAGTCTCGCGTGTCGAACCCCTGGAAGACGGATCGCCACGTAAGAAAATGCAAATTTTGGAAATACTGGAACTGGTCTAGTGTCCCAGTTACGGCTGGAAGCATTGGGCATCGTAGATCGGGGGATAGGGATTTAGTATTTCTCCCCGGGGCTGAGGATTGGGGTCTTGGATTTCCAGGGGTTTCTAAGGAAGTCGCTTGATCGATAGTGGATCTTTATCGCGTGTCTCGGGTATTTCTGGAGATCATTCAATCGTGCCCCACATTATTTCCTAGTTAAGTAAAGGGTAAATAGTCGACGTAATTAATGACTGAGTTATCGTTAATACCTCTGGATCTAAAAAAAAATTTTTTAATTATCTTTTGATGAGTGAAATGATAATTGAAAAAACGGAGTGAAATAATTTCGCTATTTTTAAAATTGAATGAAGTACATGTATTTTTAATATTTAAATCTGGAGTAATTGGGGATGATTCGTTCACTTACCACTCAGTTAATCAATGAAGCGTGAATCAATTCTGGTGTCACGACCTGGTTTACCTAAAATAATAACGCGTTTGATGCGTGAGTATAGTAAAAAAGATAATGATCAGTTCCTCGGTATTCAAATGACATCGACTCAGTAAATTCTTCCAATTCCCCCTGAGCTGACTGCTCACATTGTCTATAGTACACTTGAATGTTTGATTGAGGTGGTAGAATACTGGGTGGGGATTTAAATTATTCATCAGTGGACTCTAACGTCTCCTAGCATTTTCCCTGACCGCATTAACGAGGAAAATATATTTTCGAAAGAATAAGTGGAGCGGCTAATTACCCCAATTTATTTTATTATTCATTAATCACCGGATTGCAGGAAAATGGGGGGTGAAAATTCGTCAAGGGAGAAGAGTCGAGTGGCGCAGATAAGTAGTTAATGTTCAATTGATAAATGAAGATGAATCGGTACATCACGCTCAATCAATTGGGCGATGGCACCTTCGGCTCGGTTGTCCTCGGCCAGAGGGTCGACACTGGAGAAAAAGTTGCCATCAAGAGGATGAAGCGAAAATATTACTCCTGGGAAGAGGCCATGAATCTTCGAGAAGTCAAGGTACATTGAAATTCACGCACAGCTCAATTTATCGCATCATATTTCCTTATAAATCACGAAAATTTATATTATTTGTTTACTAAAGAAAATATGGAATCATGATTTCCTATAATTTCCCTCCGTTAAGGAATTAGATTTTTTTATTTATGAGCTTTTTTGGTGCAGTCCTTGAAGAAGTTGAGTCACGCGAATGTCGTGAAGCTCAAGGAGGTCATCAGAGAAAATGACGTCCTTTATTTTGTTTTCGAATATATGAAGGAAAATCTCTACCAATTAATGAAGGACAGGTGAGTCAGCAATAATTAACTCCCATTGGAAATTAATAATAATAAAATATCCGAGGGCTCTTCTTTCGGCTATTCCTAATGCCATAATTATTCCCTTGAAGAGATAAATTATTTCCTGAGCCGGTAGTGCGAAACATGGTGTACCAAATCCTCCAGGGTTTGGCATTCATGCACAAACATGGTTTCTTCCATCGAGATATGAAGCCAGAGAATCTTCTCTGCATGGGACCTGAACTAGTAAAAATCGCTGACTTCGGATTAGCGAGGGAAATCCGCTCGAGACCCCCTTACACTGATTATGTATCAACTAGATGGTAATTATCGTCAACCTCAAATAACATTGAAATAAAAATGGATTGAAGAAAGCGAATAAAAATAATTCAGGTACAGAGCACCGGAAGTGCTTCTGCACTCAACCACGTACAACAGTCCCATTGACATTTGGGCTGTTGGTTGCATAATGGCAGAGTTATACACATTCAGGCCATTATTTCCCGGGAAAAGCGAGATCGATGAGATCTTCAAGATTTGCGCAGTAATAGGAACACCTGACAAGGACGACTGGCCCGAGGGCTATCAGTTGGCTGCAGCGATGAACTTTAAATTTCCCATTTTACCTAGAACACCCTTGAAGGACCTGATTCCCAATGCCAGTCAGGAAGCCATTGTCCTGATGGAGGACATGATGGAGTGGAATCCGATTAAAAGGCCAACTGCCCAACAGGCACTCAGGTACCGCCTTCAGGGAAATCTGAAATTAACAAATCGTTATTGCTCACAAGTATTCATCGAGTGCAATTATTTATGACTCCTGATTAGGTATCCTTATTTCGAAGTGAATAATGCTACGCGGGTGGTCAGTGGGCGGAAGCTGGGGAATGCCCAGAGGGAGATGGCCATTAATAAAGTCAATTTTCCACCCCCTGGCTCCACTTTTAATCAGGATGTCAATAGAAATATCATGGAGTCCAGGGCCATGGAGAAAATTCCAGTGCCACCAGCTCTACCACTCTTGAATCATAACAGGATGAGGGACAGTCTCCAGAGTTGGGAGGATGAGGATTATGTCAATTCGTTGGGGTACGATGAATTGTTTTATCGATTTAACGATTATTGATTTTATTGGGAACAGTAGGTCGGTTGAGTCGTGAAAACATGAGAGACACATAAAAATTTTTATGACTTTCTAATGCTTTCGTTTTACGAGTGTTTCTCTCACTAGAAAAATTACATTTGAAATTCCAGTGAATTTCTCAACTGCCAATATAATTATTACTTAATGAAATTTGCAGGAATAAATTACTCTCTGACAATACGAGTGCTAAACTGTTATCAGATAGAGTTTATAAGGAAAATCGGGTGAGTTGGAACGAGGATTATGGAATTGAAAATCAAAAGCAGTTAAATCCCAGTTGGGTGACTCCAGCCTGGAACGAAGCAGTGCCCTCCAGAAATTGGAGCAACACCCAGACAATTCCGAAAAATACGAGAAAGGTTTCAGCGAAGCAGCATTACCTCAGTGTCGCTCGGTACGTCGCTGGCCAGAGCACAAACTTGTCCTCCAGGTATCGATTGTGTCATGCCTGTGTCATTACTCATCATATCCCTTAAACCCTCTAATTATTCCCTAAAACTCTTCATTCTCACCCCCATACGTAACTTAGATCCGATTCTATAATTTTTTGTGGAACTTTTTTTTTTCAATCGACAGGTAAAATAATTTCGATAAAAAATTTCGATTCTCTAGAGAATTATTCCGGTTATTTAATCTGCAGGAACGGGGAAGACGTGGGTAGAAGTAGATTGGTTTTGAATGGTCTGGGGGCCCAACCGACCCCGGAAAAATTGACAGAGCCTCCGGATTCGTACTGGGGGCAGAGAGACAGTATTGACAGTCAAACGACACTTCACTACCTCGCTAGAAATCGGTACATGGCAGAGCAGAATGGAAGAATGCCTTATCCGAGTGTTTATGGCACTCAATCAATCAGTGAGTTTTCTTCTCCATTAAAAAATTTCAATTCATTAATTTTTTCCTTGATCGTTTCCACGTGGAATAAAAAATCTGAAAGCTACCATAATTGACAGACATATTTACTCGAATTCGCCAATGGATTTAATTTTTATCTGTGCAGAAGCCTCGAACAAATCAATAATCCAGCCAAATTTATTCGGAAGTGTCTTAACTTCACGCCCAAGTGGTGGAGTCCACGGCAGGACAGACTGGGCGGCCAAGTACCTCAAATAATCCTTCCCCTGGAAGGTCCGACTGTGATAAAATAAATGAAAGCGCTGAAAAACTCCTCCAATTCCAAATCCAAAAAATCGTTAACCCAGTGTGACGAAATACTCAGGACAAGCTGAGAAAAAAAAAATGTCTGGAATTTTTTCAAATCGATACCGCAATGACACTTGAATTTCAAACGATTCGATTGGGAAAAATTAATTTCCCTCTCAGTGCAGCAATAACGAAAATATTCTTCAATTAAATGAATCATCATAGATTTATTTTATTTGTACATACCGATGGCCGCAGGCTGTCGATAAAGAATACGCATATCACGAACTTAGGACGTTATTAACAAGTACATTGTAATTATCAACATAATGCGGAAGTGCAACTCACAATGTTACATACCACTCTCTCAGAATTTTTGAGAATACTCTCGATATTATTTTAATTTCTTGCGTGTTTTTATTCTTTTATTTAATCCAATGCTTTTGATTCATCTTCATTTGTGTTATTCCATTTTTATACGTACAATAATAATTATTTACGCATTTTAAACGTGTAATTTTTATTTCAAAGATTAATAACTCGCAATAACGACTTAATTGGCAATTTATTTGTCCTCATTGAAACGTACCTCTCATATTTCGAATTTCGAAAATACATTCGTGTTTTTTTTTCTCTTTTTACCGAATCGATGAATACATTAGCCTTGTAATTATTATTGTTTTATTTATTATTAAAAAAATAATATTTCCCAGAGTTGACTAGATCTCGTTTTAATCACGACATAACTGAGGGAAATTATTTTAATTCGACGGATGATATAAATTTCTACGGAAGATACAAGTGGGAAAAATGATGAGGACATCGAGGATATTCAGTGGAAAATTTGCTCATTCAAAAAATTGCCGCTCCAAATTCTTTGAGGATATCCAAGTGATTTCCCCAAGCGATCTTATTAAAATCATTCCAAAACGATTAAAAAACTCATTTATCATTAAAACTGCTAAGATCTACATCTACTTCTCTGTTTTAATCTATCTGGAAATATTTTAAAAAGTTTAAAAAGATGGATAGTCTATTTTAGAAAAAGATTCACGCACTTTTTAAAATCGATGAAACCGTAAAAAGAACTTAGATATCCTCAACTTGGCTAATTCTAATCCAGTCAAACATTTAATTCTCGTTCAACTAATTCCTCCTCCTGACAAGATAATTCAATAGAATTCCCGTCAAGATTTTTCAATTAAATTTTTCACACGTGCCCCTCAAGCCTCCCTCGAAAATATTTGAAATAGAACCCCGAAAAATTCACGAAAACCTCAGATATGTGTGTTTTGTACTGGAAGTAATGTAAAAAAATTCCCCAACATCTGAGAGAACGAAAGACCTACGTAAAAACTACGAAAACACTTCCTAATGCTGAAGAATAGCATTGCTGATGGTGGAGGATGCATTAGCGAATACCAGAGGCATCGCTGTTGTGGAATTGAAGGCAACAGTCTCGAATAAACCGACAGTCGTGTTAGCAACGACTGAGGTTGTAAAAATAGTAGTCAATGCAGTGGTTGCAGTGCTCCTGAGGCTGGGAATTTTCGTAATTTTTTTCACAGTGGCTTGAGTGGTATTCGCAATCATTGTCACAACAGTGATAGTGGAATTCCCGATGACAGTGGCAGCTGGTGCCTTTGGGCAAAGCTGTTTGGTGGTCATGGGTGGCCCCAGGAGGGCGTCCAAAACGTAAGCGAGGAGAGATCCCAGGGTAAGACCAGTGGTATACGATAGAGTCATGATATTACCAGTGAGTTCTCTGTGCTCCTCAGGGACTTTACTCGGCGCCTGGATCATGGGAACACTTCCCACTATTCCATTGGTCAATCCCAGGAGCCAGGAGAACAGCACTGGGTATCCCTCAGCCGACAGAATGGGATTGTCTCTGGGTATTGCACACAGCAGGAACAACGGGATGAGAAAAATTCGGGCTAGGGAGAAATACAGCAGCTGACTCCTTGTCCAATCGTAGGAAATCGATGCAAGCATCTTTCCGAGGAGATCTGCACCGTTGAATGTCGCCATCAGGATGACTGGCATCCAGGACTCGAATTTGCAGGAGATTATCTCTGAGACTATACCCGGGTAGAGGCTCAGGGTTACAAAATAGGCAATACCGATGCTTCCCATGTACGGAAAAATCAGTTTTGCAACCTCCAGCCTTGCCAGGAGTCCTCCTGAAGATGTTCATATAATTCATAAATATAATTCATAAATAAAAATTTCACCCACAACTCACGTTTGATCCCCGACCAGGGCTTGCTCCCCTGTCCCCCATAAGTCCCCTTCATCACAACGACATCCTCAACCTTGTAGGTGGGCCCAGCACTTCCTGGACCATTTCCAGAAGGTGCATTGGGTTCGTAAACGGGATTGCTGAAGGAAAAGGCCGAGTACTGAACCCCACTGCCGTCAGAATTGGCTTCAGGTCCCAAGGGACTTGTCTGTAGCTTGAGAACTCCGTATTGACCTCTGGAGGGGTCCCCGATCTGGTCCAGTGGGTCCATCTTTCATGGAAATATCAAAAAGCATCACGAAATGAGGGGACATCCCCCTAGTGTCATTGGAAATTCACTTACTAGTCCGACATCCTCGGTGGGTTCCAGGGTAATTTTATTACGCTCTTGGCAGAGGTTCACGTAGAACCGCACGAATTCTGTCCTCCTCAGGACCCTGTGCAGGAGAGAGCACAGGCATATCGTCATAATCGACAGCGCGAAGAACATCGATGTATTTTCACGCTCGTCGTCCACCATCGATTTTGTTAATATTCGATTTATCGACACCCAAAAACCAGCAGCACCTTTAATTCATTTCAATTAATTTTTCATCATATTTTTTTAAATATGAGATTCATTCGAAATAATTATATTACTTTCTCCAGTCATCACGGCTTGTGTATATCTACTCGGTAGCATGGATGTGTACCCATAAAAGCTCGATTGCTGCACTGTGAGGAGAAATAATAATCAATCACTCACGTCAAGATTAAAATGGAAACCTTTCCGATAAAGTGAATCGAACGGATAAATTGGGATTACCTGTGCAGCCAACCGATACGATAGCTACAGCAACCAGATTGATAGTGTACGAGGATGTGACCCCGAAGAATTCCCACCAGATCTCCGAGATGAGGACAAAATTCAGAGTCACAACAGACACCAAATATCCGAAAGTTATTCTTGTATTGAGGGAAACAGTCTCTACCAGAATATTATTAGCGCAAACCGCGAAAAATGCCATTGTTATGTAGACAACGGACATGTCAAATACAATTGTCGTGCCGGGGTAACGAGTTTGAAAGTAGTCGACAGCACTAATGAAACTGCAATAAAAGATCATTTATAATAATTTAGGAATCTCCAAAAGCTCCTGGAGCTTTCACCGAAGTGAGAAATTCCCTCTAAAATTCCATGGATTTCTCGGATCAGATATAATTACCTGTTGTAAGGTAAAAGAAATCCCACACCGGCAAGTATAAGTGAGAGATAAATAAGTCCACAACGATCAACTGGGGGTGTGAGATGATTGAGGCCATTGTTGAACTTGAACTCGTTCATACCCCTTGCCTTCCCCAGCTGCACGTAACCCCGACTGAGGTTTTCATCCATTTTCACCGAGATTTATTAAGCTTCGCACTTATCGTCGATGAGAGAGGAGTACTCAGGGCACCATTGCCGGCTTTTTTTTTTCGCTAACTCAGTGGCAATTGGTACTGATGCCCTGTCTCGGTGCTGGAGCACCACAACTGTACCTCTTTCACCCGGTGAACAACTTTTTTACTGGATTTTTTACTCTGTCGGATCACCAGAGCTTTTCAAGTCTAGCGGTATTGATTTCTCCGCAGCTGTTCGGTAGTTTCCGGACGTGCTCGCAAGTCGACACTTGAGGGGAAGGAAATTTGACGTTTTTTGGTTTCCGTTGTGTTTCTCCACCTGTGCCAAAAGCACGTGTTTACGATTGTTGTCCTGTTTTGAGGAGACTAGCGCCTGGATGGTGATAAAATTGCGAGAAAGATAATTTAATCAATCAATTAATTTCAAAATCGACTCAAATACGCGTACCCCGCCGTCATGAACGTTTACATGAGAATGCATCCTTCGGCTTCCCGCTCATAACATTTTCCAGTCCATGCTTTTTTTACTGAAGGATTTTTTTTATTTTTACGGATTATGGAGTTGTTCGAAATCATTGTTGGCACTTACGAGCAGTTTTTGCTCGGATACAAAGTGCAGAAAGTGGAAAAGGTATTTTTTATTTTTTTATAGAGTAGATTGAAGAATTGTGAAGTTGGGTTATGTTTTGGTGCACTGTTGGATTTTTTGGAATTGATTTTAATTTTTCTGGAATTTTTTATGATCTTTTATTTATTTCGATTCAATTTAGGATCGATTTTTTTTATAATAATTCAAAAATTGGTTAGTAGGGATTTATATGTGGCTTGAAGTTTTTGTCGAAATTTCGACTGAGGATTTTTAAAATTTTTGCAGAAGTGGAAATTGGAGAGGAGTTTTGCCACACACAGCCACGTGGCTAGCATTAGAACAGTCACAGCTAAGAAACATTATTTGGCATCGGGGGGTGCTGATGACTCGATTTATTTGTACGATATGAAACAGAGGACTGAGTCGGGGAAGCTCATGCATCACGAAGGTAGATATTCTGACGAAATACTCGAAGGACTGAGACGAGAAGAATAAACTCAGGAAAACACATCCCAAATACATGATCGAATATTTTTCACTGGATTCTTTCAGGTACAGTGAATCATCTGGCATTCACCCCTGATGCGACTCATCTCCTCTCCTGTGGTGGTGATGGCAGTATCGGAATTGTTCGCTGTGGAAATTGGCAGCTGGAAAAACATTGGAAATCCCCCCACAAAGGTTCACCAGTGAACACAATTTCAGTTCACCCAACAGGTAAACTTGCTCTCTCCATAGGGGCCGATGGGGTCCTCCGGACCTGGAATTTGGTAAAAGGACGTCAAGCCTACGCCACAAATTTGATCTCACGTTTCAAATACGACGCTAAATACGTGGACAATATTCTCTGGAGTCCGGACGGCGCCAAATATCTAATCGTTTGTAATACAAGACTTGACGTTTACTCGGTAGAAACCGCAGGCATCTCCACGGAGGAGAATTTCCCCTCGAAAATCATATCCATTGATTTTCTCAATCAGGAGGATAATGAGCTCATAGCTCTCGGCCACGAGGACGGTAAATTGAGGATTTATAATATCGAGGACAAGTCCATAGTCCTCGAAACAGATGCTCACGAGGCCAGGATCAAGTGTATACAGTGCAGAGATAATTATATAGTTTCAGCGTCTAGTTCTGGAGAGATTAAATTGTGGAAATTTGTTAAAGGGGTATTGAAAAAATTGGGGAGTGCTAACTGCGATGCGAGGATAACATGTATGACGATAATATAAATTATAATCGTGAATATTTCTGAAAATCAAAATTTTGTTGTTCACGCCGGTATTTATTTCACCAAAGTATACATTTGTGCGGTGGATTCATAGAACTCCCAAGTGGGCAATTCCAGGCCCTGGAGAATTCCTGATTATTAGAGAGTGTTCCAATAACCCTGAAATGATTGGGTGCATGTGCCCCCTCGATGAGTTTCGACTTTAAAGCCCCATTTGTATAATTTCCACACCACACTTGAGCGAATCCCAGAAAGAACAGCTGATCCTGGGTGTATTCAGACAGCCCGGGCAATGCCTGTTTCCTCAGGCCCCTGGACTTGAGCCTCTGATACGCCCTGTACGCCTCCCTTATCCCTCCATTATCAGCGATATTTTCGCTCTGCGTATTGATTCCATTAATCTGAAGTAAATTAACGTATCATTAGAGACTAGATGAAAATAATAACGCACCTTGACACGTTTTGGGGAAGGCCACTTTACTCACCGTGAAATTGTTACTCAGTTCCGGCAAATGATAGTTACTGTACTGCTTGATGATACACTCGACTTTCTCGTGATAATGCCGGAGTGTCTCGTCGCTCCACCATTGACGGAGATTACCGTTCTCGTCGTATCTGCGTCCTGCAAATTATCAATTATTAAATCATCATCACTCACTCCTGAATAGAAGCTGTGTAGAATATTTTCGATGGATTAAAATTCAGTCGAGCTATTATTTTTCGTCTCACCTTGATCGTCAAATCCATGAGTGAGTTCGTGTCCCATAATCGCACCCATCGCTCCATAATTTATAGATCTACACCAGATGTATTTATTTTTATTTCAATTGATGAATCATTATTTCGATAAATTAATACTTACTCCAGGCCGTTCCCGTAAAACGGAGGGTGTAGGATACCCGCTGGAAAGGCTAGAAAAATTGTCGTTTAGTGTGATAACGAGAGAAAGTCGTCGGGATAAGGTACAATGAGTACTCACTGACAGAATTCAATATTGCACTATAAAAAGCATTGACTGTCGTTCCTGTGGATATCCACCTGTCCTTATCAGGTTTTTCCCTCAAACTGTTCAATGTTTTTTTTGCACCGACGTCTGTCAGTCTCAGGAATGTATCAAAGAGTTGTCCAGGGATGACTTCAGCCCCCTCGTAATATTTTTCCAATTTCTCATGATCGGTCACCCACTGGGGAAATCCCACGAACGGTCTCATTGCGTAGAGCTTTCTGTGGGCTCTAGCTCTAGTCCCAGCGTCCATCCACTTGAGCTCTGACACCATCTCGTCAAAAGCCGCTCGTATGTCCAGGAACATCTCCAGTGCCTTGAGAATGACATAAATGAAAACCACAAGAGTATAAGAAAAATTTATATTAATATTAATTTATATTAATTGATCAGAATGAAAACCTTTTCCTTCGCCTGGCCATTGAAATGCTTCTGGACGTAGAGATTGGTCAATGCCATTCCAAAATTTGAATTGACATTTCCGGTGCAGCCCTTCCACCTCGGAGTCTTCTCCTTCAGTCCGAAGACCTTCTGGGAGAACTGAAAGCCCAAATCCCGGAATTTTTGCAGGGTCAGGGGTGCCACGGTCGAGTAGACACTCCACCAGACGAATCGCGCTAATTATAAACATTACACGTACGATAAAATTCAGTGATGAGTAATTTAGGAAAGAAAAAGGCCCAGTTTACCAATAGTGGCTGAATTGGTAGTGCTCAACAGCCAAGGTAGCTTCTGCAGATAATCCAGATCCATAATAATAACCTTGTCCACATCAGTGTCCAAAATAACATCAGTATTCTCGAAGACGGCCTCGAGATACTCTGTCCAGTTCCACTTGAATCGAATAATCAATTTTAAAAAATCGAGTGAAAAATATGAAACAATCATCTACCAATGATTACCAAGATCCTTGAGTAGTCGGGAATGGCGATAAATAAAAAATCATAAACCATCTATTTATATTCTTGCTTACTCTCATTGCAAGTGCATCAGTCAGTGCCTGAAGGTCACTGACAGTCACGTCATGGAGCAAATGATTTGAGCTTCTCCTCTCCTCCGGCGTTGCCATTGTCTGGGAATATTGCAATAATTTACATTGAAATAATTATTTTTTTTCAACTCCCTCCGTTGATTGTATTTTACCATACGTGGCCTTTTTTTTTCTGTTACCTTCGCTATTTTTGTACTGAACTCGAGAATCTCCTCGGCAAATGCTGGACTATTTTCAGGAGTTACGCCTGCTAGTTCCACCATTTCTTTGATGTAACGCTTGTACTCCATTAGTTCTGATTTGAATCTATTGGGATCTGTGAGATAGCGTTCACTAAATCCCGGTGAGACCTGCTCCATCTGATCGAAATAAAATTTCGCTTGAACATTTATCTTGGCGATTTTATGCAGAATTATCTCCGGTGGAATTTTTTTACTGGAATTTCATGACCACGATTTATCACATCTCTTTATCCTTCAATTTCATTACGAGAAAAAAATATAAATACCGTGGAAAAAACTTGTGATATCACATCGAATAGTTACGGGAAAATTGCATAAATGTGAGTCTTACCATCATCCGATTTTGAGTCGTGTCGCGAACGTCCTCGCTTATATAAAAATTCACGAAAAGATTAAGACCCAAGTGTCTCTGGGCCACTCCCGCTATTCTTGATACATCTAGGTCAATCTCAGTGTCATTTTCCAGAGCATTCAACGATGGAGGCTCCGGTGATAAACCGACTCGAGAGAGAATCTCAAAAATCGGTTTCAGTCCTAGTTTTTCAACACTCTCTGGTGAACGAACAACTCATTAATTAATCCAGTCGCAAACGGATTCATATCGGTGCCGAATTAAATTTTATTCTAATGATTTTATTGACGATTTTTTAATTACCAATATCCATGCAAGTCCTGTAGAGAGACCTCGCCAGCTTGACAGGACGTAAATCATCGGGGAGATCGGGCTCCTCGAGGAGGACCCTGAGATTCTGCAGAAGTTCCTCCCGTAGAAGACTCAATTGGTCCCACGAGGTTTGACTCTGTGGAATCGGATGCCTTGTGATCCACCCCGAGCACGCGAATTTGTAAAAATCTTCACAAGGATCTACCGTTCTGTTCATTCCCTCGATCATTCTCGCAGCTGTCGGAAATGGCAATTATCGTTAATTATGAACTCATTGGAATCGTTTAATTTCCATATCATCGAGGTCTTTGGAAAATACTATTCCAAAAATACCTGTTCCTATGCAATTCTCGCTCTGACACATTTCCGGTTCCTCTCCCCTTGCATTAAAAATCGTCTGAAGACAGAGCGTTGCGACAAGAGCAATCACAGCTACCACTAACAAACCAACAACGATCACAAGTCGTCTCTCCTTGGACGATTTTTTTTCTCCGCACTCTCTATTAAACCTGAACCAAAAAAAAAATAAACCAAAAAGTTCAGAGTGAATTTGGAGTGCACAGATTTGGGGATTCGCACGTCCGCTGAATTTCGCGCACACCAAACGATTTCGAAGAGTGAAGTTCAGAGTGAGATATTAAAAAAAAAATGTTTCCATTTATTCATAAAGTTGGGTACAAAGTTCCCATGGCAACTCACCAACTGGAATTATCCTGCTCCATGATGCTGGAGCCCCTGTCATTACTCTCCGGATCGTTTACCTGCCAATCCAAGTGCAAATTTCCATATTAGCACGTTACATAATCCAACAATCAGACAACAATGAGTTCTGGTGCGAACTTAACAATATGATTCTCATATTTCTCGAAAATGATAAAACCACATACTTCGGATATCACACGATAACTGCGCTGCACCATAACTCGAATTAATTCACGTAGAAGCCCCAGAGAATTCGATAGGACTCTCACAATCACGCCCCACATCCGATGTTTGAAGGCCCCATCGGTTAATTAATTAAATAAATTACCCATGGCAAATGGTAGAGACGCAAAAACAGTAAGCGATTAAAAATAACTGGAGTGAGTTGAAAAATTCAGGAGCAGACGATTGTGAAAAAAATGATCAGTACAAATGATCAGTACAGATGATGATCATTACATTGAATGCCTCTGATAATGCCCAATATACTGAGCTCAATTCTCCTCATGTACAGCATCCACGTATGTACCATCACTTGACGCTAAAGTGAGGTGTTATGTGATTTACATTGGGGCCTCTAAACTCAACTACTACCTCTTCATCTCGACACTTCCTTCTTCTTCGGGGTTTAAAAATACAACGATTGACGCACATATTAATTAATTGGCATTGCGTACAGGGGCATTATGTGTGTCACTATCGTCTTATTTGCTCATCGAGAACAATCGAGTGTTCAGTCGCTCGGATAGCGACTATTCGAGACTTCTTCATGAATAGTTGGAGGTCAACGACGCGCAACGAGATAACCACACAAACACAACATTCTTCCGGACAACGGGGAAATATCATTTTATTATTTCGAAGGCACCCGTCCAATTGATAACACGTGCGCTGACACGCGTTCTACAACGCGCGATCATCCGCGGACTGAAAAATTCGAGGATAATTACGGACAATTTACGATTCCATCCAGAAGATTTTAATTCTTCAGGGAAATTTCATTTGGAGTATGTTTTTCAAATTGGTATATTAAATTTTCCAGATTTTTTTTCAACGCTTGCGAGATTCATTCAAATTAATTCTGCAGATTTGTTTTTTCTGCGGGAAATCCTCATGATTTATTCACGATTCTTTTGAGATTATGTTTTACCTTCGCGTCCACCTGCGACGACTCGTGACAGACGGAGCAGAATTATTGATGATTTATATTTTCCGACTTACCTTGTACCGCATGATGACCCCTCGGGCTGATGAATCTGTGGAGTAGATTGTGGTGGATGTATTTTTTGGGATAATCGGGAAACCAGATAACAGGAGATTACGACCTCTCGGGGAAAATGGAGAGTGGAAAATCTGGGATTGAGCTGCTTCAATGAGTTGGGGAATTGTTCAGAGGATTTTCACTTCTTGGAGATCAGCGATGCGAAAATTAATGGAGACCAGATAATCTACCCCTTTGAAAAATATATAAGACACGTTTATATATTATATATATCATAAAAAATTCCAGCAAAATCTCCGAACAGTGGATGGCTCACATGATTCCACAGTGAATCAGCGGTGTGGATCGCAAGTAATTAAGACAACAATAAACAAAAGTAATTAAAAAGGGATATGGGTGATGAGGACCGCATGTTGTTAAACCGCGCGTCAAACAGTTCATTTTTTTCCGAGTGAAATAGCCCTCAAGGCAGGGATGATGCAGTAAAATTAATGATTATTCAGCTGAAAGGGGGGAAATAATTTGCGCGAGTTAATGTGATGATTTGATCCGAAACAATGGGAGGAAAAGTGGTGTAAGTGGAACAAATAGTGAAATGACTTACACTTTCGCACTCGACTCCTCTTATTTTCCTTTTACTGATAAACGGATAATCTAGTTGGACTACTCTCTGTTTATTAGTTAATTATAATCATTTTTTATTTAGTTTGCGCGCACGTGCTGGTAGAACCAGCGATGGACCGGTTGTCAACTGTAATAAAAGTTTGTGCGGAGGAGTCGAGTCGGTCAGTGGTAATCTCTCAAAACCCCTCCTACGACTTCTCTATTCGATTCTCCTTCCCTCTCCTCCAACGCTAACTTTCTCACCCTCTTCCCCCTTTCCCCCCATATATCAACAATATTTACCAAAAATTTCCGGCGACTTAAATGGAAAATTTCCGAATTTACAATGAATTTTAACGATCTTCAAAAAATTGCAACTGAAAAAATGACAGGAAATCACATTAAAAATAATTTAATCTGTACATAGAAACAAATGTAATTATTTATTTATATTATCAATCATTGCCCATTGTATATATACAAATTGTGCACGGAATATTATAAACACGTTTTATATAAATGTACGATATGAATGACAAAATGCTAATTCCAATAAATAAATTTCACTCGTCGTGATATCGGCAGTAGGAGGTGTCTTCGATGACTTCCTGGGGTATCCACTCCTCATTAGGAGACTGATTAGCGAGAGATGCGGCATGATCCTCGACTTCTTTCATCACCCTGATGAGATTTCCACCGACAAGTTTTTTTATGTCAGTAGCGGACCACCGACGGTCGCGAGTCAATTCCGCGAGGAGAAGAGGATACCCTGAGACATCCGGGAGTTCCGTCGGAGGATTCATTATCCCGTCATAACCAGCCCCCAAACCCACGTGATTCACCCCGGCATTCTTCCTTATGTGATTTATGTGCGCTAAGAACCGGGATTCATAATTAAACTGATGTAATTTCGATCACTGGCTAGATTTCCATTGACATAACAAAATTTTCATGAAGACCTTTTTTGTGCGCCTTGATTTTTTCAACAAAAAAGATCATCAGCAAAAAATCAATATTTTTGGAAGATCCGGAGATATTCTCTGACGTGAAAAAAAAATTGAAAATTATTTTACATATTTACCTATTATATCGTACATGGAGGCCCTATCTCCGCAGCTCAGATGTGCGCTGTCAAAGCTGATCATCACCAGTCCCCCATTTACTGACTATAAAAGATATAAAAATACTGATGAAATTGTCTTTTCGTTTTAATTAATTTTCTCGCCCGTTTATATTCAATTCGAAACTCGTCTACGGTAAAAATGGATGAATGAATTTCCAATGGATTTCGCGTACCAGATTACGAAGGATGTCATCGGGAACATTGCTGGAAGAATTGCATAGTGCACGAGCCGCACTGTGGGAGAATATAACTGGTGCTTTGGTGATGGCCAGGGTATCCTTCATGGTGCGAGTAGAAACGTGAGATAAATCGATGAGCATTCCTAATCGATTGAGTTCCTTTACGATCGATTTGCCAAAGGCTGAGAGCCCATCGCTGTGAAAGTCCAGTGGGGCGTATTCATTCGGATCTTCCGCGGATGAGGAATCAGCCCTGGAAGCAGAACCCGTCATTAACCCGAAGAAACGCCTTTCTATTGATTTTCAAGCATAACGGACAATGAGAATTAATGAGACCTGTGCCATCCCAAGGAAAAATTGTCAATATTAAAATATCGGATGTGGCAAATTGTCGGGTTTAAAATTCATAACGAATAAATAAAAATAAATGAATAAAATAACGAGAGAAGGATTAAAAATTATGTAAAATACCATGGAGTGCTGCATTTATGGGTGAGTGTCATATATCTGGCGCCGAGGAGATGAAAACTCCTCAGCACAGCCATGGAAGCGCCAATGCTGTGTCCACCCTCGATACCAAACAAACTGGCGAGGACCCCGTCCTTGTGGGCATTTTTGAGCTCCTCACTGGAAGTAACGAATCTCATCCTCGCGGGGTATTTAGCGCTCAGCCTCCTTACGATATCAATCTGCTCGAGGGTGAGCTGCACAGCATCGAGGAACTGCGCCTCACAGGGAACATAAGCGGACCAGAATTGTGCACCTATATTGCCCTGGTGGAGTCGAGCGAGATCAGTCTGCCAGAGAGGTCCCAGGGTGGTATTCCTGGAGAGATCCTTGTCGAAGGGGAAATCATCGAGGTGGAGTCCCCGGTTCTGCCTCAAATTCCAGAGGAAGTCATTGTGCCCGTCGACGAGAGGTGTTTCCGAGAGGAGTCTCCTGACTACTTGAAGACGCGCCTCGAGAAGATGAGAACTGCGCAACTCCAGGGCAATGGGCAATCCCACGGCAGTGATCAAGGCGCACCCCAGAAGAAAAACACCACAAGTTACCAACCATTTTCTACATCCACTTCTTCGTTCACCACCAAGTGAATTCCTGTCGGAGGTCTTCGTCGGGGAGCCGTTGCGCTCCTTCAGATGATGCAGTGTTCCACCATTTGGCAATTTTCTCATTAATTCGGGTGATGATAGCTGGAGACATGTCTGCAACAGTTGTCAACAAAAAAAAAATCATTACCCAGTGTTTTCCTGGGTAATGGAGAATTAATTTTACCTCCAGGATGTCCACCTGCTTTCGTCGACCCGTTGGCGAGTGATAAATGGCCCCTTGTCGATTCACACCGTACAACTCGAACATTTTTATTTGAGGTGGAGAATAATATCAACGACCTGAAGGTAATCCACTTGTCTTCATGATCACCAGGTACCACGCAGGCGTCGATATTACTCTCGCACACCCATTTCGAGTGAATGGAAAATTGAATACACGCGCCGTACAGATATGCGCCGAAAAGGTTGCGCAAAGATGATCCAAGAATTTTAATACCAGCCCCATGACAGGGAGGGCGCGATGATCCTGAGGAAATGTTACTTATCAATCTCCTCAGGTATTCTGTGATCAGAAATTAAAAAAGTTCAGTCCTCGTCACCAGCCCCAGAGTCTCCACCACGAACATGACAGTGTTAACAAAAAAATTAACGTGCGGTACATTTTTGACAATTATCGTGGTACTAGTGGCCATTTACTTCAGGAATCAACACGACGAACTCCAGAATCGTCTCCGAGCAGTTCTCCATGGCCTGGAAAAACTCGAAACAAGACACGGAATGTCGGCGAGACCGAGGGTTGCCATAGGTTACGGGGCCTGCACCGATATATTCATTGATACTAAATATCTGCTGCATTATTCACCGAGAGTCGGTGAACCCACGCATTTCGACGAGATCAGCAATGAGGATGAGTTACTCAAAAGTTTTGCATATTATTTTAGACATGGAGCTGCTGCTGAACGTTACATGACTGATGGTGAGTTATTTGACAAACTTGTTGAAAGGGCCAAGTCATTCTCGTCCTCGTATTCGGCTATCGGGGGGAATGCTCCGGTGATGGCCATGAGATTTAATAAAGAGGGCTGTGATGTACTCTTAGCTGCCAAAATGACTCGGTCCCTCAAATTAATGATTCCTGAGGGAGTCGAGGTTGTTGGGGGTGAGGTAGATCGTGATGACGTGCATTTAATTCTGGAATATAAATATGGAGAAGTCTGGGGGCCTTACACGAGTTCACGGGCTAATAGATACATTCTCCACAACGACGCGAATAATCCCATGATCAGTTCATTGGAGGATTTTGACGAACTTTTACCGGAATTCCGACCTGATCTGTTCGTTGTCAGTGGCCTGCAAATGATGGATAATTATCCATTCGAAAGAGGCGTTCGTACGCAAAGACTGAATAAAATAAAACACCAAATGATAAAGCAACGTCAATCGACGAAGATTCATTTCGAGATGGCCTCGTTTGTAGAGAAAAATTTAATGATGGAACTCCAGGATATGGTGATACCCTACACCGACAGCTTGGGGATGAATGAGCAGGAAGTTGCGAATTTATATAATTCTATGTATTATGGTAATGTCTCACTCGTTGCTGATTCCACCCCGAGGGTTGCCACTATTTTGGATTACATGAGATTTTTGTTTAAATTGATACGACAGAGGGGAGAAGGAATAACGAATTCGAGAAAGCTCACGAGAATTCACGTACACACTTTGGCTTATCAGGCTATTCTCACTGTTAAGAATTCAGCCTGGAAAAATACCATGGCTGCTGCTGCTAAGGCTTCTCTCGTGGCTCATCGTCACGTGTGCGGCACTAGTACGATTGACGTAGCCAAGGCGACTCTCATAATGGATGATAGTTTTTCCACGTCAAAAGTATCGGGTACGAGAATACCAATGAACACTGAGAAACCAGTTTCTTGCTGGGACGAAGTCATTAAAATGAGCAATCGTGATATTGCTGTTGAGGTGTGTGTTGCACCGGTTTTAGTTTGCACTGAGGCTAGTCAGACCGCTGGTGGTGGTGACAACATATCCAGCGCTGGACTCGTTCTCCAGATTTGAAAATTAATACGGAAAATGCAATGCATTGATTAATGCCTGGTGCAGTGATAAGTTTGCTGAATCTATTTTTCATGTTAATTCTGCATTCCTCTTTGTTATTGATGGATCATTCCAATGTATCAATTCACATTCGACTTTTCAAGTTTCTAATTAATGAGTTAATGATCGTTCTACGTACGTGTCAGGAAACATTGATTTTTATTTAATTTTTAATCGTTTGGGGACGAATGCGTGCCATAGATTTCGTATTACCGCGATATTTAAGGAAATTTTTTTTATTGAGTACTCGATAAATGGAACATCAAACGAACTTTCATTGTGATATAAAATAAGGAACTGACATTCAATTAACGAATAATTGATCCACAGCTGTGGAGATGCTGCCTAACCACTGCACTAGAAATAAACGAGTCATTCCGATTTTACATACCTGTTTGAAATAATCATGTTGAATCAGCATATGAATGTGCAACTCATGTGAAAAAAAAAAATAAACGCGTCAAGAATAAAAATCATGCGAAATCGAATAACATAATTACGTCAACTCCACAGGTGAAAAATTTTACCCGAATTTTCCAGGAGATGATATTCGACTAAAGACCCACGAAATTTTCCACAGAAAAAAATTAATTGGAAATTCTGGTAAAATTTTTCACTGATGACCAGCGACCTAATTAACCGATTTTATAACCGGAATTATCTAAAATCATTAAATAAAGAATACAACAGTATTCCTCGTATCGCGTCTTTATTACCTACAGTGATCCACCAGAGTAAACACTAAAATGTAACAAATAAAATCTCCACTTCGAGAGATACTCATTCTACAAGATAAAATATTCATCGCATATCCATTGAAAAATCCAGTCATGTAAAACCTATTTCACAATAGAATCCCCCTGAGGATTCTCAAGAATAATCAAAATTAATTACAGAATAGTATCGCCCTCGTCAATGCCCAGCATCCTAAGATCATCGGGTCCAGGTTGTCCATCAGGCTCAACATCAGCTTGAGTGATTTCAGGTGGTGGTTGATCCATGTACTCAGGCCCATACCCAACACACCCCAGCATGCTATTATACATAGACCCATACATAACATTATGCTCGACCTGCAGCTCATCACCGCCCTCGGCACAGTCCTTGGGAAAAATGATGTTGAGTGCCTCCTGTAGATCCTCAGGAAGCGGTTGACTGGGATCAGCTGCAGTTTTTCCCACCTCGGGTATTTCCACAGCTTCATGAACCTGCTCCACACCGGCCATGGCCACAGGAGGATGTGGAGGTGGATAGGGAGTCTGGACAGGTGGAGGATGAGTAAAATCGACATTTGGAGGTATCACAGAAAATCTCGTGGCATTCTGAACGAAAGGGGGTGGATTTGCTGGGATAAATGGCGGTGGCTGAGTGGCACTGAATACAACAGGTGTCGGTACATCATTAACATCAAAAGTTTTAACTTCTGACGAATTTCCTTTAGAATTCTCGACAATGGGCTCCTCGATGATGGTCTCCTCGGACTGATCTTCAATCTCCATGTCGACTACCTGTGTGACACCGGGCCCAGGGTGAGCTAATAATCCCGTACTTTTGGGCACTGACGAGGGGTGCAATACTGGGGGCGGTGGTGCCACGAGAATCTTCATAGCCTGACTCTTCGTTGGAATGCTATTATTCAAGACAAGGGGTGTTGCCAATTTTGTAATGTGAACAACACCAGGGGGATTTATTATCTCAGAAGGCACCTGTGGGGTGTCCTCGAATTTACTCTGCACATAAGGCAATGGGGCGATATCTCTCTCCGTACTCTTCACTTCCTCATTCTTTTTTTTAAACAGGGGTAGTCTACCAATGAAGGGTAGCTTTCCCTTCGTAGGTGGTTGGGCTGAAGTTTTTTTTAATGGAGCTGAACTTTTTTTTTGTTTAGCCGATTCATTGGTTTTCTTCTCAAATTTTGACTCCTCATTTGATTCCTCGTCTCTTCTGTCTTTGTACTTGTCGTATCCACGCTTTGGGCTCTCCCTCCAATTCCTCTCTCGTCTCGGGCTCTCGTCACGCCTATCCTTCCTCCTGTCATCGTAATAATCACGATCACGATCGCGATCACGTCGCCTGTCGTATCGATCGTACCTGCTGTGGTATTTGTCATCACGTCTCTCGTATTTTCGATCGCGATCATCCCGGTAGCGATCTCTGTCTCGGTCACGATCACGCTCCTCCTCTTTTTCACTCTTCTCCGGGGGTTTTACCGTCATATTCACCTGTTGTTTTGTCCAGAAGCCCATGTGGGGCTTGGGAATTTCCTCGGGCTTTGGAATGTCCAGGGATTTAGCTGGCTGGGGCTTCTCCTCGTCTTTTTTTATCCAGAAGGGCTTCGGTGGCTCCTTGGGACCCCACGCCTCCAGGGGAGGCTCTGGCTTTGTGGGATACGTCTTCTCGGGCTCGACCTCTTTGTGCTGCTGATCCTGGCTCGATCGTCGCTCGTTCTGCTGCTTCATCTCCTCCTCCTGCTTTGCTTTTAATTTGTCACGAATTGAATTCAGCAACTGGCGATCGTCGTTCTCTTGTGAATGAGCATCTGGTTTAGTCTGTATTGCGTGACTCCAGTGGCCCTTTAATTTTATTCCGTGATAATCAATTTCCTCGTTGAGAATTGCCTGAGTTGATGCCTTCATTTTATTACGCATTGCCACACGAATGCTCTTTGACATATCTTGATCTGAGTCAGTGTCTGTATTCTCTGTGTCGCTTGTACTGTCGCTGTTGCTGCTCTTGGTTTTTCGTTTTTTCGACTTTTTTTTTGTCTTCTTCGATTTCTTTGATTTCTTGGACTTTGGCGGTGGCAGCGCCGGGGGCTCATCCTCCTTTTGCTTCTGGAGCTCCAGCTGCATCTGCTTCTGGCGCTCGTCCGAAAATGCCTTCTCACGATCGGCCATCCAGTCCGTCTCCCAATGAGGGCTTTGCTCGACGAATCGCTGGAATCATAATTTTCAAAAGATATTCATTTTTTTTTATTATAATTTAATGGTGAGACGAATTAATGGTGCGCCTGGAAAATAAAGAGAAATACTCACAGAATAATTCTCAGAGTGTCGTTTGGACTTCAAGTGAAGACTGGCGCAGTGAAGATCACCAATCCACGAGTCGCACAGTTTGCAATACCAGGCTGTTGCAGCGCTGAAGAATTGAAGTCCTATAATCAAATATAAAATACCATTAGTGGAATTCATGTGCTGTCATCAACGTCATAAACTTTCATAAGTTCATAAAGAATGACCTTGTGCTCAGCCTCGAAACACTCAAGTCACTGAAAAACAAAGATAGATACGTTAAAGGGATGATTTTTTTTTTCAGATTTTATAGCTTTTTTTTCGATGAGTCCTGACTAGTGTTTCTTCCACCTTTATGACGCCATGATATCCTGAAAAGGGAAGGGACTTTTTCCTCTTTATTTAACTACATTGGACTTTACAATTAGACAATTACAGATATTTCAGGCATAATGGAATTAATCACAAGTTGTCCCACATGTGAATAATTAATCTGCAATAAAATTAAGAACTTTTCACTTTTGAAATTGAACACACGTGGCACCTCGTAGTTCATTCAACACTTTTTTACATTAATATTCATTTCACATTTCCACTGAACGCACTAATCTTCCACTCGATCTCGATTTTCAAGTGGCAAATGTGATATTTCACTGAGATGACAGATATGAACGATTTTTTTTAAATCTCAGAAGGTGTGTCCTGTGCAGATGCAGATCCATTCACTGTTCTCTGATTTTTCATGAAAATATTGCCCAGAAATAAATCCACTCCAATAATTCATTGAATAAACTCCAAATTTTACTCATGATTATTTAATTCATGAATTCTCCTCGTGAGATTTAAATCGGAGGGACTCGACTCTGTCGAATTTCTGAGCAATATCAAACAAAAATCTTCACTTGCTTCTCTTCAATACATACCAGTAAAACAACTGTGTATCAGTGCACAAGCTACGGAATTGTATACTAATTAGTAAATGTCCATCGAAAGTATGATCGTACCTTTAATTGGCGTCCTTTTTGTGGGTAGCCCAGGGTAATACGGCACTTCCTTTTCAGTTCCCTCTCCATTCTTCTCATGCCATGGCATATCCACGATTTTACGCTCCTGAAAAAAATCAGTTAAACCACCAGACAATTAATTTAAAGAGTGACAAGATATTCAAAAAAATACTCCAATTATTGAAATTACCAGACAAGTTTCCTTGTGCTCCGCCGAATGGAGATGATTCAAATACTCCTTAGCTGTCTTTGGAAAAATATCGCAGATCTTACACCAGTGCATCTCAGGATCGTAATGAACAAAATTATACATTGGTTTAGAATCCTCCTCGATATTTCTCGATATCTTCCTATCCCTATCACTCTTGATGTCTTTCTCATTGTCCGACGTTTTCTCGGGTGTGTCCGGAGCATTTGCCTTCGGGAAATCCTCCCTGGGACTACGAGACAGTTTTTTCGATGTTTCCTTGAATTTTGCTTTGAGATCTTCCACCGTTGCCTTGTCACCGATAATGCCAGTTAACATATCGATCACGTTGTGAATAGATTTCATTTTATTCTGGATCTCCACCTGAAAATCATAAGTATCATTTATGCATTAATAATATTAATTAATTAATTAATGTCCGATACAAAGGGCTGGGTTGATATTGACCTGCAGTTTTTGATTCTCCTTGACAATTCGATTATTCTCACGTCCACTCTCTTTCCCAATTTCATCGCACTGCTGACGTAGAATTTCCAATTCTCTCTGAAGTGTCGTCGACTTCTTCATGTATTCGTCACGCTGCTTCACCAGAGTCGCTCTCTGCTGCTTAACTTCAGCTTGAATAGCTTAATAAACATGAAAATAATGAGCAATAACCAGAGCTGGGTAGAGCTATTCAAAAAATTCTTATTCAATATTATTATCTCTCATTAATCCAACGGGAAAAATTAAATTGTCTAATTTATTGCACCACCATAAAAAAAATGGGTTTAACATAAATAAAAAAAATTTATTAAATGAATAATCCCCGGAAATGTAGAATCACTTACCAAAAATATAATACCCAGCTCTGAAACCACGGGAATTACGCAGAGTATAAATTTTTAATTTACCTTCTTTCTTGGCATCATCAGGTCTGGGCACCGGTGCCGTGAGTCCTGAAGGCACTGGTTCAACCGGCCTCGAGGGTTCACTGAGTGCTGGCAGCGCTGGAGGCGGTGCTGGTTGATTATTGTAAGCCACCTGCCCCCCCTGCCAATTCGGTGGTGGATAGTCCTATAATAAAAATTACCCAATCAGAGGGCATTTCAATTGCTGTCTGCATTTTCCTTACCTTTCCATACATTTCACCGGAGAAAATCCAAAAACAACAATTGATAACACGAAAATAAATCTCAGTACTTACTGAGGCACTCGATTAATATTCGACTGTAAACCGTATTAATCTCGAAATTCGAGCCCTCCTCACTTTTTTTTTATTGATGATCGATATTACCGAACATAATTTGAATATTCAATAGTGAGTAATGTGGTGTTAGAATACGCCGTGGAGCATTAATTTTTATGACCATATCACTGTGTGCCACGTACATTCCAATTGTTTATATGTTTGAATATCAGCGTTAAGAGAGTTTTTCACTTACACTGCGATAACCAGCTGCCTGCTGATAAGAATAATCGTATCCTGGGGCGTAGTTGTAGTTGTAATTTCCATAGCCAGGATTGTAAGGTGGAATCGGTTGCGGTGGTGGCTGAGGGGTAGGTGGAGGCGGTGGTGCCTGAATCGTCAAATAAATTTCAAAAATAAAAATTCATTGACTGCATCGAAAAATAAAATGAGATAAAAACAAATGAAAATGTAATTGCATGTGTTACCTGGTATTGATTATGAACCGGTGGCACATAAGCACTGTTCCCAGTGGTTGGTGTAGGGGCTGGAGCTGGCGGTTGAGGATTAGTTTTATTCCAATCCTGAGATCTCTCCTTTCTCCTTCTCTCCCTGGAGCCAGATCTTCTCTCTCTGGACCTGGAGCGCCTGTACCGCATTCTCCTGGGGGATGGAGATCTGTCCCGGTCATATTTCCTGGATCTCCTCCGATGTGAGGAATCGTCGGAGTCGGCGCTGGGGCTTCGAGGCCCTTTCCTCCTGGTCTCTTGATCCATTTTGGAAGGTTATACCAATCACCCGGACGCTCTCGTCGTTAAAAACCTCTGGAAATGATATGGAGCACTCGAATAAGTGGATCACTTCCTCGCGAGGATACTCGTCACTTGGGATTATTTATGGATTAAGACTTTTTGGAATATATTAGGACAACTGGAAAATTCACACTTGTGATCGACATGTGTGAAACACAGGCGGCCATTACTCTATTCACCAAACGATAAATGAAATATCCACACCTCTGTGGATACGCAATTTCCAGGGGAAATGATTTATCACGTGGGGCGATTATCTTCCTGGGGGAATGGGAAGCGATTGAGAATAAAATGGCTCAGTTACCCGAATGAATTATTTCGAGATGTTTGCACTCTCGGTGTGTTTTCTTTATTCTCTACTGTTTTCCACAATTTTTTCTGATTTCTTCCCTGGGAATTGCTACCCTCCTGACCCCTCCGAAGCTTTCAAACTTTTCAGTTGGGGCGGTTGTAGCGCCCCAATCGAATTTAATGTATGGCGCGCAAAGGAAATGGCGACCAACGATCCTCAAAACGAAACGACAGGTAAATCGATCTTCTAATTTTTTCGTGGGGTAAATTTAATAATTTCTGACAAGACTCCTAAGGGCCCATGGGGCCTCATCTCTGGGGAGGTCAAGGTCTGGGATTTTTTTTCTGGGAACAACAAACTTTTTTACTTTACCTGGAGGTGGAGGTTAGGTTTTAATTTGTTTTGTTTTTTTATCTTGGTGATTTTCTAGAGTTGGCTTGTGTCGAGGAGACCCTGATGAGCCTGGAAAAATTGGATCGTGCTTCGCCCGATTTATGGCCAGAACAAAGTGAGCTTCATATAGGTGTGCATGTTTTATCTGCGATTGGGGGAGGGCTATTTTTTTGATGGGTTTTTTATCAAGTTCCAGGCGTGAACGAGTTCATTGCCCAAAACCTACCACCGACAGATCAGGGCTCGTGGTCTACTGCTCTGACGTCCGATGACCTCAATCAACTGCACCGTAAGTTTGAAAAAAAATATTGACACATTTTTGTTATTTAAAAGGAATTTATTGACCTTACAGAGCTTGGAAATTTGACTGTGACCAGTCTAATCGCAGAGGTGAAGAAACTCCATGATGAGGCCTATCAGCTTGGCCTGGAGGAAGCCAAAGAGATGACGAGAGGAAAATACCTGAATATATTCAAAAACAACAAGTAGCAAGTACCCCCCACTCTACCCCATAAGAGATATTTTTTATATTAAATAATTCATAAAGCAATCATGAATTTTCTGTAATCCACCTTGCGTATTTCTGGACGTTGATGAAGACTGAGGGTGAATTCTTCGTGGCTTCACACGTAGCACCGAAAGACAAGATCCCAATCTGCAAGAAATTAAATATTACTCGTATAAAATACTGGTATAGAGAGTAGAAGAATAAAATTCAAGGAATAAAGCAAAAAATTTCAATTCTTCTTCGATGATTGTCGATGATTTCAAGTAGAATTTTAGTAGAATAATTACCACTGAGTAACCAATTCCATTGCGTCTTATCAAAGGACTACCACTGAATCCAGAGCACGGGTCTTGTCTGCCAATTGCGCACATTTCCACGCTCATCCCTTGATTAACAAATTCAGCGCAGTCTTGGAGTGGTAGGAGTCGCATTGGAAGTGATTGTTGAACTGGCGGCGACTGTTCTTTATCGTTTGACACACTTCCCCATCCAATTAAGGCTGATTGACTCCCCACTGTTATGTACGGATGATCCGAGTAGCAAATTGGTTGAATAGTCACTAAAAATTTTGTTCTATTACATTCCACACTGGAGGGGATCTGCAAAATCTTCAGGAAATTGTCGAATCGATTTCCACATTTTTTGTTGATAATGGAGTTGAAGGAAATTCATGTGGTTTTATTATTTTAATTGATAATTGTCGAGTGCGTGAGCTGTTCCTAGAAATATAATGATTGCTCACGTGTGAAGATGATTGACTCATCGAGTCTGATTAGAGCGATGTTGCGCTCGAATTTCTCAGCTTCGAAATTCGGATGCTTCACGACGAATGAAATATTGTAGGACGTAGCGCAGTGGGCGCAGAACAGGGGATTGCAGTCTGGATTCTGGGATGTGTCGAAATCCCCTAGCATTACTGAATGTCTAGGATCAATTGATAATTATTCATGAATTTAATTTGCCGGCGAGACAGCGAGATAAATGCAACTATTTCTTAAAAGATATTTCCAAAAAAAAAAGAAAAATGACATAATTATGAGGCATTACAATTTATGCTCGTCTGAAGTGGCTAGTGCACACGTGGCAGTCGTCAGAATGGTTCTCTCATTGATGATGCTACCAGTGCATGGATATTCCAAATTCCCATCGCTCAAATCTACAATGAGATAATAATTCAGACGTAAAAAAAAATTAATAATAAATCCTAGAGCACTCACTAATGAATCCAATTCTCGCGAGGAACGGAAATGATCCAATTGTGATAACATTGCTCCTCATTAATGTTTTTCCGCATTCCGGTGTGGGATCTAACGCCCTCGGTTCGTAAAAATCCTTCTGCACACTTCTTGGGGAATTGCAACACACTTTGGGATTCGTACCGATGTATCCACACACTGCCTGACGAAATCTTTAATTTCAATGGTTTAATGACGAAAATTTCGAGATATTTCTAACGGATATTCACCTGTGAACTGGCAAAGTCCCTTCATTCAACAACGAGGCAATATCAGGGCAGTAATCGATGTGAGAGCAGACTTTATTCTGAGGACATGCAAGAACATTTCCAGCTCGATTATCGTCGACATAAAAATTCACGTAATCACTCTTGGCAGGTGCAATGCACCCTAGCAACATCCAGATGATCATCTCGATGGTCAATAACAATTCAATAATAAATATAAATTATGTACAAAATGGGATTGACAAATAAAACAAGAATTGCTGGACACCTGCAGGCAGACTGAATCACCTTCTTTATTGAATCCCGTAGTAAACCAGCTAACGACACTCTGAACTCGATAATAATCGTGAAAACACACAACCTTGGGAGGATTATTCCCCATTATATTAGCATCCGGCCGGATGGTATGATCGCGATGCAGGAGAATCGATATATCACTGTGATATCGTGGAAAAATCGGTGGTTCTTATCAATGATCCCATACCAGTGTGGTAACAGAATATTGCCGAGCAAAAAATCGAGTTCCAGTCTTTTGCGGAAGAATAACGCAAAATCGAAATTGAATTGTAATTGGAGAATTGAAATTGTGTTGAAGATATTCAGGGAATTTTTTATGAATTTTGGATTCGTCTGCTCTGGATTGAGGTATTAATTTTAGCATCCAGCCGCACGTTTGTCGTTCCATTCGATGGCTGTTTCGATGATTCCCGTGGCCTTGATGAAATCAACAGCAACGACATTGGCAGTGTGCTGCCATTCTTCATTGTACCACTCTGTCACATTGATATCAACGTTCTCAGCCATTTTACGAAGACCACCGAGTCGGTCGAAGATTACGTCGAAGGTTGTCGGTGTTAACTGGGCCATTGCTGCTCGAGGCTGTGATTGAGGGTTTCTGGAAATAATTATTAAAATTCACCAAGGCAAATCCACCCCAATTACTCACACCGCGCATTTATTAATATTAATTCGCGATTTTCGAAAAAAATGGAGAGCCCTTGCCAGACAGAAATAAAAAAAATTATCTGTTGATTTTTTTGGGTGTGGAGGCGATGAAATAATTTTGAAGTTTCGAATGAAGTTCTTGCCAAGTTTCCAAACGATCCACTTACGTCGTGAGTGTGTCCTCGGATGCCAGTCTCTCAATCTTGTTCAAGTGCTTGTAGAGAGCACCAATCGTACGGACATTACCCCACTGCTGACCAACTTGAGGCCAGACACTCTTTCTCATGGAGACGATGTTATTGTAGTCGTATCCAATTATTAGTCTTCTCTGGGATGCCCAGATCTCCTCTAAACTCGTTTTCCAGACATCCGCGGGTCGTGCCATTAAGTAGTCGGAGAATTGAGACTCGAGGTAGTCCACTAATTGATTGTGCGCTGCCAGGCTTTTAAATCCTGGGAAAATCAAAAAAATATCGAAATCGTCATCGTGCGAAAATCGAAAAAAAAAATATCTCGGGGTCCGTTGGGATTAGAGAAAAATACGAGAGGAATTTTTTGCTGTCCTCGAAATTTCCCAGGAGAAAATTCTTTTGTAATTTTCCTCTAGGTCCCGTCACTCCGGAGATATTCGCCACCGAAATGCTACCAACCGACAGGGAACTCTTGCACATCGAAAATAACGATTTCGTCGGTATTGTTGAGAAATGTCTTGACTGCATCGATCACCACCTGCAGGGGAACGATCCGGAAGGGTCCGTGATTCCCCCAAAACTCATGCTGATGATTGGGGTATCGACCAACTCGAATGTCCAGGTATCTGGCACCGTAGATTAATTGCGCCAGTACATCCTCGTCCTGGAATTATTTACGAATTTATTTTACCAAGAAAAAATACCGAAAAATAAAAAAAATTATTCATTGAGTATCAGGAGATGGGAATTGAGTTCGTATAGCGAATAGGTAAAGCAAAAAAGCCGATTTATTGCCTGATTTACCTGCGTAATTGTGTATTTATCAACAATGAGTTCTATTCGAGAACCCTGATGTTTGGCATAAGCCGCGGAGTCGTGAGTTCCAGGCAGAAATATTTCTCGCATTCGCAATTTCCCGAGTGACGATTTCCTCTGGGACATCCACGTTGGATGCGTTGATAAACAATTCGCTTTTATTATCGTGTTATTTCTACCGAAAGTCACGTAGTACTCTGCAAGAAATCACGAACTGAAAATTTTATCGTCGAGTCGTTAATTCAGCAATAATTTTTTCAAAACCACGTGAACAGGATAGGCGGATGAAATTACAAAGAATTTCAAAAAAATAAATTTTACGGATAAATGCATATTTTCAATCGGAATTACTTAAACAAGATTCCCTGAAGGTGAGATTGGCAGTTGGAAGGAAATCCGCACTAACACCAGTCTTTTTGAAGCCATGAGTGACATCCGGTTGAAATTCGAAGACAAGTAGATCAGGTGCACCTGGATGGACTTCGTAGAGTCCAATGACATCTCCATTTCTGAGTTTATCATTTTTCCAGTAAATTGCAATTTCCCGGATCATCTGGGGTGACATGATCGGTGAAATGACGATTCCCAGTTGCATCCCCTCAGTCTCTGTCCACACAAATCATACGAATCACTTGATTGATTCACCAATCTATCCCCAGCATCACCAACTCACCATTCTGATCGTGCTCGTTGCAATCAATGGAAAAAACACCACTGATGATGGATAAAAAAACGAGGGTACGGTACATAGCGCTTAATGATGAGTGAATTTTTTGATCACTGAGGTATGATGAATGGAGTGACCCCGATTTCCTTCCTTTTGAAGTCACTCGAACCAGAACCAAACAACGAAACGCACTGAAAGAGAAGACATGTAATGCACGTGGCTCGGTGGACATGACAATGTACTCCATTAGTGTCATTGTATGGGTCTCATGATGAAGCTGATGGTGTGTTCGCTGAATCTTGGGATTACATTGTTTCAATGTGCGCCAGTGTGTGGGGAGAAGTACTTAGTCATCAATTTGAAAAATTAGGAATGTTGGGGAATTTCTGGGTTCCATTGCAGGTGAAATGACACATTATTCTCAGGAATACGAGCCCTACATCGATAACGAGTCGAGAGAGTCACTGCCATTTTTGCAATCATCACAATCTTATTTTATTTTATGTTAATCCATTCATAATTGATTTTATATTTATTATTAATGCGAATTCGGCGGAATGATGAGTATTTTTTTTTTCGGAGAATTAAATAAACTTACACAGACCGATCAGGATGATATTGTTAATCTCTGTTGTGTCCCATCGAGTCACCGACTGAATCCCGACTCATGTAACTCAGCACCAGCTATTGCGTCAAACATGAATCCCAAGGACTTGAACGGCTTGCACTCCGCTGAATTCTAGCAACGCTAATTATTTATGACGCAGAGATTTTTTTATTTCCAGTCTATCTACCAGAGCAAGGGAGATCAATTGGACAGGGAATTCAAATCAAATTGCGCGGGATTATCTGCTAATGCGTCGATCACTCGATTTTCCCGAGGGAAATAAATTTCCTCGGGAAATATTCACAGTCCGCGATAAATCCATTGCTCATCATTTTTTATAATATTGAATTCTGTAATTGGGACTAAAATTTACTCGGGAGATGAAAAAATTCCTTTGAATATTTATCACAACAATTAAAAATGCGGAATGAATATTCGCCGGTTTTTTCTGTTGAGACGGTGTAATAATTCTTGGGAGTAGGGATAAATAAATATAATAATTGTGTAAGAATTTTTTTGTCTGAGTCCTTGGAATGTCCGCGAGTTCTTCCTGCGGAAGGATGACTCGTTAATTGACGATGAATACGGCATTCCAGATGACAAACAGTTACGTGGGAGTAATTTGACGACCCACAGTAATTTAAAAATTGGGAACGAGCAATAACCCAGTGGAGGCCAATGTGAATTCACTTGCGGGTCAGTAGTGTTTACTTTCTTCGACATGTGATTTTTCAGTAATTCCTCAATAATTCGCGATCCATTAATTGACTGGCTCTTCTCTCCACGTTCCACAATTCCATTACTAATAATTTTTTTAATGAGCAAGATGTAATAAAAATACACTGATTAGGGTTTCACATCTCTCTTTATTACAAAACTGAAAAAAAAAACAAAAAAAAAAAATTCTTCTGTGACAGTAACAAACTTTTGGCTTATGTGACTAGTTATAATACTCAGCGGCAATACTAAATTAGTGTAATGTATGTTGTGTGTTGGAAGTGGAAAAGTCAAGTCTTTGGGGATGAAAAACTGGTGATAACAGTAATAAAGAGAAATTCGTGGATTATCGACGATTTATGTGACAAGACGAGTTTCTTTTCCACTGCCCACACAATTCTTCGCGGGTGAAGTAATTGTTGGAAATAAACAATTGGGGAATTGGGAGTAATAATTTAACTTATACATTTAAAGGTACATAAATATTAAACTATTCGTACAATTAATTATATCATAGTTTGTCTTGGAAGATACGGTATGGCAGGATTTATCTTTTGATTAGGAATAAAATGTATTCTCTGCGGTAATTGATGACTGCAGGGGTTAAGTTATCCCCATTCCTCTGCAAATATTTGTTCTCACTTTGAGGCTCAACACAATAAATTAAATAAGTTTCATCTCACACCTGTACACTAACGTAATGAACCATTTTTTTTTTTCCCGAGGTACCAGAGCCAGACTCCACATTTTTCCAAAATAAAACATGAAAATCTACAACTATTCTATTCAGTAAAAAACATTTTGCGTTTGTTTTTTGTATAAAAAATTGTTGTCAACAGTTTCAGCTATTTCTGGTATTAGATCTAGGGATTTTCTTAATCGAGATCTATCTATTTGTTCGATAGAGAGAGGTGTGTATTTACACGCGACAATTTTACAAATCATGTGCGCTCAATTCACTCTGGATTTCAGTAGCTAAGTGGTGAAGTGTCAAAAGTTGAATTCAACATATCCATTAATTATCGTGTTATCTCGAAAACCAGTGAATTTAGAAGGGAATGGTAAGAGAGCTTTATTGCGGCTAATCAAGTTTTCAATAATAAAGGTCTTTTGTCATTTCCTCCCGAAATTCATATTTTGGGAAATAATCGATGTGCAACAGAACTGCAAAATTCGACTGATTGCTTTACCACTTATCCCCGGAATTTATACATCTGCTGATTAAATTTCCTCGTTTATTTAATTGCTCCGATTATTTACGACTTCCCCAGTGAAAGTGAATGATATGTGACGGCAGGCTGTCAAGATGACAAGAACAATAAATTCTTGTTTTAATCATTAAAAACAGTCCAATAATATTTGTTGAATTATTACTCATCACTGCTTTTCCATCCATGCGATTCGACGTAATTGCAACATTAATTCGCAAATTGAAATGATTGAACGCCGGTTTCAACACTCCAGTCGTTTAGGATTAGTTTTTTCTTCCAGTTATTTTTAATTAACGAAATATAATGACAATCCCTGCCTTAAGGCACCGAGTGGCCATTGTGGTTCTTACCGAACGTAACTTAAAGTAAATTGACTACGATTAAAACGTACCGTATCGTTTTTACATAATGGTGATATATACTATGTATAAAAACCGATTATTTACGCGATTTTTAAACATCCGGTATGTTACAATCTTTGCGAATCGCTTTATCAACATTAAACTGTTTCTTTTGAGATTACCCCAGTTTGGTTCTAATGTTTTGAATGCAATTAACTTGTGATCCTCCTGTCACTCATGTAAAACACAAAAAGAAATTTCACCTAATAATAAAACAGTAAATACTAATAAACAGTTTTTGCACATTTTACAACAGCAGTCGAGTGACGAAATATTTGTCAATTTGATCATTCAATATTCATCTTCAAGATATAAATATAAAATCTATAAAAGTTCATCATCGTTTATACAAACTATTATTTTCACCAACGAACGATCGAATTAACCGAAAATATCTGGTGTACCAGGCATCGGCAGATAATTATTACGCAACTATTTACACTTCCGAGATGATCAGATTGTAGAGAGTGGAGCAACCGAGAGGAAAATAAAAAAAAATACGAATGATTGTATTCATCCCAACATCAACAGAACTAATAATGAAAAGATAAACAATTGTGAGAACACATGTGACGGTACCGTAATCCTATTTATTGCATCGAGACTACCTTTGAGACCAATTAAATAATGCAGCATTTGATTAAAGAGAGATGACAATAATATTCAAAAATTTCTGGCTCTTGCAAATATATTTCTCATAATTTGAGGAGTGATTTTTTTTTTTCGTTCTAACCCGAGATTTTAAATACACATCGCAATTCTCTTAATCACTCTGAGAGTGAGTTATCCGCGGTGAAGTGATTAAAACGTAAGATTTGAATATTTTGGTGGATTGAATACAAAATTATCAGAAGGCAAATTGACGTTTCGAGGAAGAATGTCATGCTGTAGAAAATCCTTCCCACCGAGATAACTCCAGTCGAAAAAATGTAGAGATTCAATGAATCGCTCCATGACTTCCCTTCAGACTCAATAATTATTTACACGCGGGGAAAAAAAAAGTATAACTTTGGTGCAAAAAGCAAATTTACCCCCGAATAAACCTGAACCCTATCTCCCACTACCTGTGAAAATCCGAATAAATAAAAATTGGCCCTGTTTGAGGAATGACGAGTTTACAGTTTAAAGATTCACGAAAAACTTCATTCTGTCACGAGAAAACGTAGAGATAAAAATTAACACGAGACAAAAGAAAAAATAATTGTATAAATCTACTTAAATTAATCGTTGGATGGTTCAGCTTTAGCAGACTCACGCACTCTCGTATACTTGAACGTTGCATATTTGCCTCTAGGACTGTCAAAGGCAATTACTCGATTTTTTTTTCAAACGTCTGACGATTCGATAAAAATGTGAGCATTTCCAATATTTTATGCAACGCATTCGATTCTCACGGAGTGACAAATAGCCCTGAGAATAATTATTTTGTACAGTGTCTTACTCACTCGAGCTTTGAATACCAAATTCTGCAGGGAAACAACGAACATCAGGACTTTGATTCTCTCCCCTCATCACCGATCCAGAGGTACATCTTCCATGATGGGTAAATTTCCAAAATGTTGGAAACCATTTTTAAAAATTCTCCCTCTGCTGGTGCCTGCCTTAGTCTGATCAAGCAGGGTAACATTGTCCTCGAATTCCCTGACCCACCTGGCAGTCTCATTGCCCCAGTGAAATCTGATCTGAGCTGGATGATGATAAGCCTTCTTGAGTCCAGCACTTCTGACCTCGATCCCCTCCTCGGAATGATAAAAACTCTTCTCACAGAAATCCTGTCCCACAAAAGGCTCGAGCTCAGCAACAATTTCCATGAATGTTGGTCTCTCAATGGGCCTCCACTTCAGACACTTCTCCATGAGTTTCAGAACAATCTCTGGAACATTCCTGGGTATATTAACAGTTCCCTTCCTGAGAACATGGTGAAGAACCTCATCATTGGAGAAGCCCTGATATGGTAGCTCTCCAAGTGTGAGAATCTCCCACAGAACAATTCCAAAGGACCAAACGTCAGAGTCAGACGTGAAAACACCATCCGAGAGGTTTTCAGGTGCCATCCACCTGATGGGTAACAACCCCTTCTGTCCAATCTTATAGTAATCAGTCTCATAAATGTCCCTAGCCATCCCGAAGTCTCCAATCTTACACACAAGATCCTTAGAGACCATGCAGTTCCTGGCAGCTAGATCCCGATGAATAAATTTTTTAGACTCGAGATAAGCCATGCCATCAGCAATCTCACTCGCCATCCTGATAATCCTCGATGTATCAGGCACAAATGCTGTGTCTCTGATTCTTCTAAGGTAAGTTTTGAGGTCCCCATTCTCCATTAGCTCCATAATAACATAAGGTGGTACCCCATCACTCACAACTCCCAGCAGTTTTATAATATGATAAGTTGAAAAATTCTTCATAACAGACGCTTCATTCAAGAATTCATTTTTATCCTTATCCGTGCAATTATCAGGAATAGTCTTGATAGCCACTGGGGTGATACCATTGAGAGTTCCCCTGTAAACCATTCCAAAATTTCCAAGCCCCAGCTCCTCGAGAAGCTCCAAATTCTCCCGGGGCACCTCCCAGCTGTCCCTGACGTACTTCGACTCGATATAATCAGGATTAACACTGGCAATGAGTCTCTCCTGTTGTTTTCTCCTCTGACTGCTCCTCCACAATAAAATCCCAACTACAAGAATCACTAGAAAGCCCCCAATAATAATCACGAGAACAATGGTCGTGGTATTGTCCACCTCGAGGCCAATTTCAAAGTCCACTTCCCTGGACCAAGCCCCATCACCACTCAACGATCTCGTCCTGACCCTCGCCCTGTACCTCCCAGGACTGAGATTCCCCACGATCTCCTCCCCTCGAAACAAATGAGCTGGAATGCAATTCGATATTCTGGTGGCATCCTTGACGTCGAGATTACCATAATCCACGTAGTAGGCGACAGTCAAGCCATTGGGTGATCTCGGTGGATTCCAGGAGATGATTACAATCGAGTTATTCACCACTTGGACCCTGACGTTCTCCACATCGTCAGCGTGCTCTCGTTTCAGAGTTGTTGCATTGGTGTACTCCACTGTGGAGCACAGGTGACTCCCATTCGAGAGTGTAACACCACAAGCTGCCAAAGATATCGTGTACGATGAGAAATGCCGGAGGTCCTTAATCAAATACGAATTGCTGTCTGCAGTAACGTTAAATACGAACGAATAGTACGTGTTGTTGTAGATTCTCGTTCGCCTGTCATCCAAGAGATCCCTGCCAGCCTCAATAATATTTCTGTCCCTCTGTGATAAAGTCGAGGATGACGAGCGGCCAGTCAAACTCAAAAAATACGATTCCCCATTGTCGTATCTGTGGAAAGTGCAGTAATTCTTTCGCTCCTGGGGTATCCAACTAATTGTTGTATTGGCTGCACAGTAAATCTGAAAGCTCTCCTCCTTGAGTGGCAGCTCGTTGGTGCAGCAATCTGTCTGCATCGGTGGTGGCTTTATCTTCACCTCGTGAATGGTCTCGAAGCCCTGGCCAGGCTCCAGACCGCGTGTGCAGTAATTTCGAGTTGACAGCTGCTCGATATCGTGAAAGCGAAGGAAACCAGCGATTATGTAGTAACCGATGGGACCATTTGGTTGCTCTGGGGCTTCCCAGGTAATGTTCAAAGTACTCTCGCTCTCTGGAGTGCTGGAGACCGCTGTCGGGGGTGAGGGCACGTCTGCCTCAGTCCTGAAGAAGAGAATTGGCGACTGACCGGTCAAACCATTTGCGTTGTTCCTACTTCTTGCTGACAGGGTTTTAACGTAAACGGCGTAACGTGTGTAAGGCTTGAGATCAATTATTTGTTGCGTAACAAGACCACCTGGGGGGCTGTTTGGAATCTCAACGTCCATTATGTGCCATTTGTTGTGACCGCATGCGTTGTTCTCGTAAGTGATGTTCTGGGTCTCATTGTTTGCTTCTATGTAATTCAGAAGGTAGCTCAGCAACACCTGGTCCTTGGTTGGGGTGTAGACTGTCCACTCTAGGGCAGCTGATGTTGGGCCTCTTGATTTTACTGTCAGATGAATGTTGGTCGTATCGCAGGCGACTTTGTCACCGTTGGAATCGGGCTGGACTTCCATTTCAGTTATGTCAGTTATACCCACTCTCTTGGCAAAACTCGTTATATTGGAATAGCAGAGTTTAGGATTGTAGTGGAAAAAAAGACGTCCGTTGAGTATTTGCACGTTCTGGGTCGGTGGAAAAATGCTCGATAAATTCGGATTGTCCAGAATTACGAGACTCGAGTTGTTGAGATCCAATTTTTCACCCCTGATTATTCGTAACTTCTTGAAAAAACTCAGGGAGGTAATTGGAAATGAGTGAATCACCTTCAGTGAACCTGTTATTTCCTCCACGTCGCCAAATGCATCTTCCAGCTCTTGCATCACCAGGGGATGACTGTTGCGTATTTGGAACTCGAGGGAGCCCTTGATCATTGTCGATCCCTTCAACCTTTGCGCATCTGATATGTGGCGGATTATCTCACCTGGGCGAATTTTTTGACAGGAGCCTTTACAGGGACGACAAGTTGCTTCGTTATTTTCAGTTGCAGTTTCGTACCCTTGAGGGCAATCCGTAATACATGCCCCTTTGAATGGACGTCTTTTAACGTCGTCCTCACCAGTCAGCTGGGGCTCGTGGATTTGAAGGCATTCTTCCTTCGTTATGCATCTTCGAGAGACGTGTGAGTATCTGGAAAGTCACAGATATTTTTTATGTGGAGGAAATACCTCATGAAGTGCCGACAAGGATAAATATTATTTATTTATTTTCCCAGTTTGTTAATCGGTGAGATTCGGAAAAATTGATTTACTCGCTGAACTGTAGAATTGGCTCGGAGAAATCATTAAATTTCCCGAAGGGCTTAATGTCAGGTTAAAATTATTATAATCCACGTCCTCGACATTAAGAATTTATCTCCTCGAAAACCTCAACTGTGGAATAATAATAAAACCCAATCGATACAAGCTGTGCGATCGTCTTGATCTCTGATCCTTGAATTCAAATTGATCTCCAACATTTACGATTATTCGATATCCCAATAAATTCACTTTATCCCAGAGTCCGAGAACCCCAAGAGGTGGAGATACAAGAGTTATTAAAGTTTATCAGATCCCCTTTAAACAACATAATTCATTCCCTGTAAGTGCCTTTTACGACGTTTAAAATTAATATATGACTAAGCTTATCCCATTGGCATTCAAATCCCAGGTCAAGTGTCCCCGGTGGTTGCACACGGTTGCATTTAGCAAATGTTGACTTCCCCATTGTGATAAATTGGGTTCTGGAAAATTACGAGCCACGAACTTAATAATTCTGCTGGTATTAACTTGCCTTTAAATTTATCTCCGATTTTAATCTTCAATATTGATTAGTTCTTATACAACTCCAACACAACCAAAAGATCGACAAATTGAGAAAAATCAGCATTTCAGACTCCTTCTCGAATGTGGAAATTTTATTCAATCGATGAATAAGAACAATTTTTTTCCCTCGAGATCAATGCGCTACAGGTTAAGGATAACAAGTCGACTTGTTTCGTAGATTTTTTTTTTTTTCAAAAAATATCAGTCAATCTGGGAGAGATAATTCAACAGATTCATTCGTAAAAGACGAGAAAATAATACTCACAAGTGTTTGGGGCACTCAGCAATACATTTTCCATTGAGGGTAAAATTTTTACAGACGTAGCAGTCATATTCAGTTGGCCCAGTGCAGCCAGCAAGGCACTGAGGATGGCACCTTGGTTTCTCCGTACTCTGGCAGACGCTCGTCGACCAGCAATGACCATCCGGGCATCCAGAGCAGCCTAGAACTCACAAGTGAAGGCTCAAAAATAACTATTCCCTATATGCGAAATTAAATAAACCGAATTTAATTCAATTTTCACCAATGTACCCCAAAACTCAAAATTTTTTCTGGTAAAAATTCCATTTTTTTCATTTAAAACACTTCAAACTTTGAAATCACTTTTTATCTCGGATGAATAATTATCGATGATGATCGACGATTGAGGGAAATTTTCAATTCAAATTATATCAATTGACCACTTGGCAGCTGAATTAAACGGACGAAAATGAACAGCAAGGTACGGCTAGCCAACAAACGGTATCCCAGCGGGGTGCCAGTATTTCCCCAGAGCAACTTTCCGAGTTTATCACGGGGTACGATAAGGGAATATGCGCCTCGCTAAATTTACCGGACTCAATCTGTGGAGGAACTAAACGCATGTTTGCTTACCCTTGAGCAATGTGCGTATCAATTTAAATGCTAATACCACTGGGGCATTCTAAAGGAGTGAAGGAATACGGTAAATAATTTTTTGGTACATAAATTCTGTTAAAAAATAGAAGTCGATACATTTTTATGAACAATGGTCGTTCTTTCCTGCATATTCTTTTAAATATACACCATCGATTCCCTTGGAGTCGTGAAAATAATTTGAGAGATAATCGTGAAATTTTTTTACTCACTTGGACACGAGGCTTTATTCGCATTATTCTTTATGAAATTTGTGCCAGCTACTACAATTCTCGACCAGTCGATGGTGTCTGCAAAGCAGAGGGAAGGATTTTTTTCCAATCTGACAGCACCTCTAGTTATTTTCGTCAGCTTCGTTAATCCAAGCTGAAAGACAAAAAAAAAAATAACGAGTTAATTGTTGAAGCGAGGCGGAGGTGTCATTCCTGTTTTTGTTATTGACTGACAATCATAACAGATGAGAAGACAGAGGGAGGGCAATGGAAAGGCTAATTCAATTCTCGGCTAATTAACGACAATTGACCCGTTGACGTCGACGGGTCGAGGAGGTTTCGTTGGGAACACACGAAATACGCTGATTTCGCGTGGGAATGGCTGATTAATAGAGACAAGACACCCCGACGAATCATTGGTACATAATTAATCGTATGAGATCGGGATGAAATAAAAATTCCTTCATAAAAAAATTTCCCGCAATTAAATCTAGCCATTTAATTTTTCTAAAGGAGATTCAATAATTAATCTTTCCTTCCTTCATGGATTAGTCAATACATTATGGATTTCAGTGAATTAAGAGGATATTGATAGTTATGATAATTACCTCCTGGACATTTGACATTTCGTACACCATGAGGGAATAATCAGCGAGCAATTTATCACCTCGAATAATAGCCAGATTGGGAAAGAGGTGGCCAATGTTCTTGATACTGCCCACACGATAGAGCAACAAGTACCCTGTTATTTCGCGCAATAGTTCAAACGGTTTAATCGGCTCACTCAGCTCCACTTGCTCCATGAGAACAATTTGCAAAAATCCCTCGATAACACGACACGGTCTCAGCATCTCTAAATGTCCAATATAATTGCGTATGTCAATGCTATGACAAATTCCATCTCCAATGGTGATGTTCTTCAAGGGTCGCTCCTTTTCATGGTGAATGGAGGTCATGTTTTGGGACATCATCGTGGTTTGGTGATCCTTCGGATTCAAAAGATTTCCATCCTTAGGGCTGGAAATTAAATGAGAATATTTCTGTTCCTGCATATTTTATTTTTTTTTATTTTCATTTGAATCGATAAACTTGTTTTATTGGACTGCACAGTTTTTCTTTTTGAGCAATAAAATTCAGACAGACGTCAACGGTGTGTTTTTCCTATTTCCCCACTTTGACAAATTAAAACGATATTAATTCGCCAGCAATGACCGAAGAAAGTCTCCGAAACGTGACGGATATTGTAAAAAAAACATAGAGGAAAGTTGGAGAGAGTCAATTCAAAGGCACCTCAAGCCGAACAAAATTAAATAAAATCACGGGGCAAGTGCTGAAACGGAGAGTTGATTTTCCACACCTCAATAAATACAAAATTATCTCTATAATATCTGAATTCCCTGAGATAATGTCACGAAAGTCTCAGGGCATTTTCTCCACAATTTTTCCGAAAAAGAGGTAATTATCCAGGTGAATTACCAGTTATCAGAGGGACTTATCACAAATATTTCAAAATTCTTGCCCCAAAAAAAGTAAAAATTAAAATAAAAAAAAAATAGGTCAAGTATAAATTACCTGGTGTGATTGATAGCCCGATTATTCCTCATGAGATCCCTATCCTCAGTGATAAAAGTCTGAAATTTTCCCTTATCCGTCTTATTCCTCCCCTTGCCAAACTTCTTATCAAAAATTCTTGCCCCCTGTCCCCGGGCAGGTGTTAAAATGCCCATAAAAACAATGAAAAACATCCCAACACCAATGACCACCGTCAGCTTCCGCGTCCTCATCTTCTCGCTTCATGGACACTATTTTCACTGATTTATTCCCAACGCCAGCACTAACGTTCCAAGATTATTGGGCCGGTGACGCGTCCAACCAGTCCCTACCACCAACTCTTATATTTATTTTCTTTATTTTACTCCTCAGTATTTAAACTCCTCTCTGTCCACCACTTAAATCCAATCGCAATGTGCCTGCAACGATGGCAATCATTCACGTCGCATCAATTATTACTTCTCCACAGTTCCTATCCTTTTTCCCATCACTTTTTTTCTTTTAAATTCACATCCCCTCAATTGCCTATTTAATTCCACACTCGAGTGCATTCAAAAACGTCCGTGAATCGATGAATTCACGCTTCGTCTTCCACACTAACTCGTACAAAAGTTTTTCATTTGAATACGATGAAATAGGCATCACAATTCACTCCACAACTGAAATTACCAATCGTAAATACCACTGTCGAGACTGATAACACAACGAGTTTCTTTATTTTTCCCTCACTTTGACCATTTTTTTTTCTCAATCTCACTTAATTTTTTTTTCTTTTCCTTTCTTATTGCCAGGTTTTGAGGAAAATGGAGAGTCAGAGGACTCGATTATCGTAGCTTCTTGTTGAATATGAAAAATTTCTTGGACTTCATGGTAATGGCTGTGAGTGAGTCTTCAGAGCAGCTCAAGCCTGGAAAATAGAGAATTCGATTATTAGTAGTTGTGGAGGCATAAACCGGGGCAACACCGGTCATTAACGGCTCGCTGGAATGGTGTGGGCAAGAAATACGAGACGATAGACTCTCTTTGCAGTTGCTAAGTGTCTTCAGGTGTTTTCTTTTTTTATATGTATTTTTTTAACGAACTTTTTTGGATTGTCCCGACGGGAGGGCGTAATCACCACGTAAACACATTATTCCCCGGTGTTTAACAAATAGTTGAGATTTTCGAGGGTTATAAATAGTTTAACGAGGGGAAAATGGCCTCTCAGATGAGTGGGACGAAATTATATTGAAACTTTATACGTAATGAGGTGATTTGACTATTTTTTTTGGAAGTTTTGGAATTATTTTTTCCGGGAGGAACTAGCCCAGCCGAATTTTTTGTTGGAAGTGATAAATAAATAATAATAAAATGGGCATTTATATTAAAATTAGTATTAAAACTAATTCTTCGATATTTACGCAATAAAAAAACGAAAAATAGATAAATCTTCAATTTTTATTAATATCTCAGGTATTATTAGAAAAAAATTGAGCAGGGGTCGAAAAATCTCATGCGTAAATGATAAATCCCTAAAAAAATGTGAAAAATTCTGAAATCCAGAGCTCCCACCATTGGCGCCTGAGCTCTAAAAATAAAACAGCCAACAATGCGAGAAAAAAACAATTTCAAGTACATCGTAATCTCAATAAAGCCACTTAATACGATTAATCGAAAATTCCTGGGGCTTGAATCAAGTGTGCCGGTGCCATAAAGTCGGTGTGACAATTTCCCATTGCGTAATGGGTCATGAACGCGTACCAGAATTGAAGAGGAAATTCCCAGGACACATTAATATTATATAGAAAATATTTTTTCTATGAAATTTGAGATGTTGGGAATGACGTACTGCTTGTACGGGAAATATGTTACTATTACTCGTTTCCGTCGACGTATCGGTGGCGCACCAATCCGCCCATTCATAATTTCTCGTGATAACAAGGCGACGAGAAGTTGACATTCCCCTCTTACCCCTTTATCCCCCACACATTCACGGCCGTTCACAGATATTCCAGAATGGGAAACTACCGAGTAAATTAAAAGCCCCAGGCACCAGTTTTTATCGTTCAACACCACATTTTTTCCACTTACTCCCTGAGAAAATTAAAATATATATTGTTTTTCTACTCTTCCCAGAGAAATATTACATCTTCCGTGATCACTCATTTATCTGCATTTATTAATAAAATATAAGTTATCAGTCATGAATATTCAATGAGACTCGCATTTTCTCCGTTTTCTCGGCGTGGATAATTTTTTTTTCGACGAAATAGAAAAAACGCGGTTATCACTCATTTACGTGGAATTCATCTGCATTTTTCCGCTGAAATATTAGTTATCAATTTTTATAATGAGTTTGAAAATTCCGGTCGAAATTTAATTTTTGAAATTAATGAGAACTTTGATGAGTTTTTAAAAATTCAGTGGCAGCTGCTCCTAGAAATGAAAAAAACATCCAACAGTGCATGGAATGACTGAAAACTGCAGGTTATTTGCATAGATAAGATTAAGAATTTCCGTAACAATTCATTTTTAATGAGCAGTTGAAAACGTAAATTGTTTAAACATTCAGATCCTCGTGATTTTTAATAAAATTAATTTGTAGCAATTCTGAATATGAAAACCAGCAATAAAACGAAATGAAAAATGGAACTGATTCTCCAGTGTTTCTATTTATTTTCACACACATAATCCGGATTGAATTTTTGTTTTCATTTTCTCCATTGGTGGAGATCTTCTCTCATTTTATTTATCTCTCTCATTTTATTTATCTCTCTCATTCCCCCATACAAACATACGGTGACGTTTCACCAGGACGAGGTGAACCACTGTTTACTTTTTCCCTTTTCTTTTTGTTTGTGTATTCGCCCCGCCTCCCTCAGCCACCCCCCCAAAATCAATTATCAATCCCGCGTGCTATTGGATCCCCTCAAATATTCGTAAAGAAATAAATCCGGTGTGAAAACCACCGTAAGATTTTCGGTTAAAGTGCAGCCGTCGTTCCCCCAGAGAGTGAGGATCGGGGCCATGGGAATCGGGGCGATTAGAATTAGACGTCTCAGCGTCGCGACGCCCCTCCCTTCCGCCCCCTCTTCCTCCCCCTAATTCCGGAAAACCTCGAGGACCTGAGAGACCCGAGAGAGATGCCCCGTGGAAATGCAGAAGGCGCTTGTGCGTCGTCGTCGTGGAATGCGCGGATGGACCCCAGCATCGGAGAGGGTGCAACACCAGGAGATGGAGCGAGAGAAAAATAGTAAAAAAATAAAATGGAGAGAGAGGGACAGCCCCTCGATTATCGGAATCGCCTTGGTTTTGCCCAGAAGGCAATAACATGCCCACGCGCCCATTTTCAAATGGCTACACGGGAGAAAAATGAGATGAGTGAAATAAGGAGAGAAATAAGAGAGGATAAATAAGGAGAGAAAATGTGGCGGTGGTATGGGGCTGACAGTTCGGGCAAACAAAAGCCCCCCCCGCCCACCTCCCCCTCTGGGTGGCTTATCTTACGTGACAGAAACGAGTAATCGACCGAATTGGATCGAGGCCTTCTGCCTCTGTCTCGGATATTTCTTCTCCATCTCCTTTTACCGCTGAATGACAAAACCCGGATTGTACAGTGCGTACAAATAAAAGCGCCATCGGCAACACGTACATCGCATAACACCAGTGTGGAATTGTTTTTCCGACGGCACGAGTTTCAGAATAAAAGGGACAAGGCGATAACTTACGCAATTGTTATTTTTCCGCGGTATCCGGGTTATGAGGGATTTCGCGGTTTTCGCGGTTTTCGCGGATTTCGCGGATTTCGCGGATATCGCGGATATCGCGGTGTTGGAGATTTTTATTTTGAGGATTTTTCGGGGGATTTTGGAGAAATTGAAAATTGAATTTTTTTTTTGGAGGGGAAGATATTTTCGCGGAAAATTCTGAAGATAGTTTTGGGTTTTGGAGTTTTGGGGTGTTGGTGGTATTTGTGGGGGTCTTTGGCATCATTAAAAATTCTCTTGGAAGTGTATTTATGCTTGTAGATTTGGGGGTGACGTGCATTTCGCATTTGATTGCACCAGACTACGCAGTAAACTCACGTTTAGTGCTTTTTTCTCATGTGTCTGTTTCACTCGGTCCTACAAGTCTTGTGGGACTGTCTTGAGGTTCAATTCGTTGGATCATAAACAAAGTCGTAATAACGGGGTTTATGACGGAGAGGATGGGGAGCCGATGTGAATGGAAAATTGAGGAAACGGGGAATTGAGGGGATACGATTGGACCGATTGGTGGTCGATGCTTTTACGTTGTGGTATTTCTGGCAGTCGTTTGAGTTACGGCGTAGAAAAATCTGATGATCATATCCTTGGATGTTATAGTTGTTTGTTTGAGGCTCGGAAAAGTAGTGCCACATGCAATATTCAATTTTCAATTCAAAGAAATTGGAAAAGAAATTTTGAAATACCGGAAATTTTTGCGAAAATGAAAGATTAATTGCTCGGAAATTTCCCGTCGTGAAATTCAATGTTTTTTAAATTTTCATATCTTCATACCGATTCATTAATTTGAGAAAATTTCAAAGGGACAATTCATTTTCGTAATTCACAGCAAATTTTTCCTGAATTGTTTGAGAATTCATAACGTAAAGACGGAATTCCCTGGAAATTGGTGTGACATTCTCGGTGTAACGTGATCTGAAAAATTCAACATTCGCGGATTTTTTAGCAAGACACGAATAAAATGAACGATTTTTATTGTCACGGAGAAATTCCGATTGTTCGTTTTTCATCCGCTTAATTATTGCAAATGTAAATCGCGAAATACCTCGACGTAACTTGCGCCGGGACACCTGTTTCGATGTCGATAAATCGAAAAAAGACAAGGGACACGAAAACATGTTTTTACCCGGCCATTAGATCCGCAAATTGATGGCAGACGTAAAAAAGTCGCCGATGGATCAATCGACTGTGTACAACACGTTTTATCGGTTCACTCCACTAGAAGAACTGATAAAATAAATAAACTATGCATTAAACATCGAAAAATTGTTGAATTCCCAGAATAACGATTACCTCAATACCAGAGACTTGAACATTCTCCTAAAACTGGACTAATCCCCAGCTGCGAATTTCTTTAAATTTCCCATGACCCTTGGAATGCATTTTTCTGCCGTAAAAAAATCTTCCCGAACTATTGACCCATTATAACCGAAATAAAAAAATTGAAATCGATAAAAAAAAAATAATAACAAATAAAAATGGCATTCCCCTCGAGAACTCACCGGCAAAAAGGCCACGGATGGACGACAAACAATCCCCGAATAAATCACTGGTCAGTAAAAACGTACCGGAAGGAAAAAAAAAAGTCATGAAAGAGCCGATGCCGCAGGGCTTTAGCCCCACGTCATTTTCCCTGGTGACACACACTCGTGTGGAGCACTCGAGAAGGCCTCCTGGAGGAGGTAAGCAGGTTGTCGCACGAGAAACAAACTGGAATTCAGATTATTTTCGACTAACGACTCTCGTCCACCTCACGGGACTGGCTCGTGGCGCACATGCCGAAGGAGAGGCCCAAAGAGAGAGAGACATTCAAGAAATAGTAGAAAGAAAAAAAAAGAACCATCACCGGGGAAATGACAAGCTGGAGGGGAGACCACTATCATCTCGATTTTAAAATCCAGTGGATACCCTCTCACTGGGAAATTACTGTGACGAGCCCACCGATGGATGACGTGAGAGTAATCACGTCGGAATGTTTTTCGTGGATCATTCCTGGGGATAGTCTACCAGGTGAAGAACTTTCTAACCTTCTTGAGGTTGAGTCTCAGACGCGTTGGAGCGTCCTCTGAAATTCTACTCCCGGTCGATTCACACCCACTCCACCCGGTGCTGGTATACGTACACAAATACTCGTGTTACCTGGCTTCACCGATTTTTTAATGCAGACTTTATGTTGTGTGAAGAATTAAATTAGTTGAATTTTTGAATATTCCCCGGATCTGTTGCAGCATAATCGGGAAACTCATGAAAATCAGAAAATAATAAAAATTATATATTGTATTGAAATTATAAATTTCCAGCATTTTTCCGATTCGATTCCAAATATACGTCGCAATATCCAACCAGTAAAACCGTGTGAAATCGTGTTGTTTACGTTATGGAGCAATCTACGCAGAAAATAGAACGCAATTGGAATCTGAGGGTGAAAAAAAGAGGGATGAGAGCATGGGGTGAGACTGTGTATTTTCATTGGGGGAAAAAATTCGGGGGATTTAATTACGCAGTGGATAACGAGAGGTCAGAGAGGCGAGAGGAATGTTTTTAAAATTGGTTTTGTTGTGGACAAAAAATGCCTGGACGTTGATGAGCTGATGCCGGCGGTTAAAAGAAGATTTTAATGATAGGATTTTTTTAATGGTCGTAGCATTTACGATGTTTTCAGGATTTTGGGGGAATGGGAATGAGGGAGAGAGTAAACATCGGTGTTTCGACCCTCTTCCTCGGTTTATTGCGTAGTATGCGCTTCAATGGATTACGTCACACAACGCAGTTGTTTACAAGTCGACATGCTCTGAATTTGGCAATCGAATGAATACCAGAGAGCATCCACTGTTATTACAGAATTCCAACAACACCAATAAAAACCGCCAAATGTCAACAACCCCTCGGCGAATCATTGATTAGTTCTATTCTGACGAAATTCAGTGTAAGGTTGCGTCTTCCATTGTCAGCCACTATTTTTCCAGGGATTCCCAACCCTCTTTACATCCTCCAAATCTCCACCGTACACTCGAGAATAACACAATGACACAACCGAATTTTTCGAATTCTTCAAAAAATTCACAACCCTCACAAAAGAATAAGTCGATTGGCGTCGCTTTAAAAATTTGTGGATCGTTAACCCGTGTCTCCCCGAGTGAAACTCCTTTTGTTGCACTTAACACATTATCACTAATTTCCGAGGTTAGATAAGAGGTGTCAGAGATCGAGGACAGGAGTGACTCCCAATCATTCCAGCCTTAATTCCGAAAAGCCGAAAAAAAAATGAAAAAATTGCGATAATTCCGAGGACGCCGTGCCCCACGTGTTTTCCACGATCGAAACAGCGTCTACTACGTCTGTGGGCATCCTGCCCCCTCGAAACGCCCTCACATTTTCCTCTACCCGTTTTTGTTTTCCTTTTCTTCTTTTCAGAAGACAGACAACCCAACGGAACGGGGCACATGCGCTTTTTTTTTCACGCACTCCCCCCTGTATTTCCTCTTTCCTGCCAACAAATCCCTCCCCCCCCTTCCCCTGTCGCTGACGAATTATTCTCATCTCCAACTGCGTCTCGGGTTGTTTCCTACACCAGTTTATCCTCCATCTCGATTGTTTATGAATTGGATTTTCACGGGTCGAGTGGAGAGGGCAGGTATGCGACCACCTTGCCCCATATTTTTTAATCGTTATTTCCTTCACTCACCCTCTGGTGCGTTGATTTTTTATTTAATCCGTGATCACTTATCGCGAATCTCCTTTCGGTGGGTTTTATTATCACTCTGGTGGATTGTGGTGGTTTTTTGTTTGGTAATTTGGGAAAGGTGTTGGACGACACGAGACACTAAACACGCCGCGCGGTGTACAAGCGTAAACTAACGCATTCGGTTGGACTCGACGATGGGGGGGAGCCGATCGCCAGCGCTCGGGCGTTCTCGGCGCTCGGGCGTTCTCGGTGCTCGCGCATGTTCCCGCGCACGGAAGGGGTACAGGGAAAGAGGGGCGACCATTTTGGCGCCGGGTGGCGTCGGCGATGGCGGCCATGACAAGGGATTTCCATGGGGAAATTATATTTTATGATGTAAGTAAAAAAAAGTACTTCCTAATGAGTGTCATTAACCCTCGAACTCGTTAAAAAGTACTTTATTATGTTGTTATTGTTTGGGTATATGTGGGAAGAAATAATATTTCGTGGTTTATGCCATAAACTTTGTGGCGGAAGTCGAAGGCCAGAAAACACAGAAGGCCAGTGTGTATCACACTCGGAAAAATGAACAATTGGGCCTGACCAGCAGTTACTGATGTCGGGCCCTGGGACTGATTTAGAATTTTTGGGGGGAGGGAGTTTTTTGCGAAGTTCTATTTTTTTTTTTTTCAAACTTAGGGGTGATTTTTTATTATGTTCAGCTGGTTGGCTGTGATGAATTATTGGGAGGGTTTTGAAATTTCTCTGAACTATTCTGGATTTTTTTTTGCTGCAGAAGTGGAACGAGAATCAGCTGTGGAATTGTTCGACATTGGCGTAGGACCTGGGGGGAGTCAACGTGGTGGAAGAGCGGGTTTGGGGATTTTTTGGTGAGTTTCAACTGAGACTAATTGATGAGGGGGAGATGACGGAATTGTCGGGGTGTCGGGGGGACGACTCGGAATTTTTTAAGGTTATCGTATTTATGGTTGAGGATGTTGGAATCGGATCGGACGATTTTTCATAAATTTGATTGATTGACCAACTGTCAGTTTGAATGGCTTATTTGAATTTGAGGAAATCATTTGCTGACATTTGAGAACCTGTCTCTCTACCCATTGTTCGCTTGTATTTGTGGAAGCAACTGTTTTGAAAATAGTCATTTCTGAGAATCGAAAAAAGAATACTCCGGGAAATGCAGAATTGAGGGAGTGTGCGTTTTTCAATTGTATCGACTTGAGGAAATTCCAGGTATAATTCATTTTCCCTGAGAACCAGGAAAAAAATTTTTCGATCCATTATACCTATTTATCAGAACCAAAAAAAATTTTTTTGAGGGAAGAATATCAATTGAGATCTTTTCATAAACAAAATTCATAATTTGCTCAGTATAAAATATCAAAATTCGGTAATGGAGAGTCTCTGTTTTATTGGCTGAACTCTAGTCTCTTCATCAGCCGTTCGATGTCAGGAGAAATCTGACGAGATTTTTTGAAACGTCTTAATTTCCAGTAATCATATACGCGTGACGAATTTTCATCCCAAATTTGAAAAGATAAGACCGGGCAACAACCAAAGGTTTAAATACCATAAATATTTAAATGTTCTATGCAAAATCAATCGTTCGAAGTTGTAATGAATGATATGTCCCATAAATTATTCCAACAACCGTAAATTGTCAGGCAAGGGCATTTCCTCGATCTTCAATTGAAAGACCGTCATGAGATAATGATCAGGATCTGCTTCATGACTGATCCATCAATGTCTCAAGATGTTCTTGATTGAGCAGTTGTAGGAAAAGTGGAAGGCAGGATGAGCATTCCATGGGAAATTGATGTGTCTTCTGGCTTCAGCGATTCATGAAGCAATCGAGTGGGTGATAGTCCCACGAGATAATCATTGAAGTCATGATGAAAAAACGAATAATGCCGAAGAGCAAGATTTTTTTTGGTCACAAATCTGGCAATTATTTTTGTGCCCATAATCATTAGCATTTTTTAAATCTTCATACTCCCCACGATAAAAAGCTCTGAGAAGTTCTCCATCGTTCATTTGATTGTGGGCCCTCCCCCTATCGAATATTTCATTGAACACCTTCTTGAACCCTCGGAGGGTATAACCGAGATAATCAGAGGAGGAGAGTAAAAAAATTACGAGCTGTATCGTTTGCGTTGAACCAAACCGAGTACTGCACAGCTACACGTATATTTATACGAGCCATTGTGCAAATTTACACGAGCCATTGCACGATTATCGCACAACCAAAAAGAATCGTTGAATCGTACTTCAACAGGAAATGCTCAATTAGAAGAAAATATCTGGGCGGAGCGTCGTTATAACAATTTAATTTCTCTGATACTGTATCTTGGATGAAAATAATGGGACAGCGAGGGAATTGAGAAATACGTGATTGCTAGTTTTGCAACTGTGTTGCCGGAATATTGACCATTTGTCGTGGGTAGAATCTACGGGGCCTCCTATTAAAGATGATTTTCTTCCGTCTGTGTCCTGGGACAGCATTAATTACAGTTTATGATATCACTTGATCGCTACATGAAGCTTTTCCATATCGCAAATCAATTTTTTATCCTGACTTCCACGATAACCCGATTGCTTCAAGCAGAAATTCAGTGCAGATAATTGCAGCTATTATGTTGTCAATTTTTCAGTACCGCGCTGAATTTTTTTTTTGTATTTATTTTTGTATTTATATTTCCCTGAATTTTGACGGAATAATTTAATTGAGAAATCGATTTGGCGGTTTCATTTAATTTTTCGTCAGTATAATTTCTTGGAAATTGAATCGAATTTCTTAATGGCTGTAGAGTAGATGATTCAAACCAGTTTCCAAAGCCGGCTTTATTCTGATTACGGATTAACTAAGTACATAGCATGTCATCAATTTTCTTAATTGATAAAAAATATGTTAATGCATTTGCCGGTGAAGTGAAGGGGTGAGTAATTTAATCCACTGTGGGCTGTAATTGATAGGTGTTGCGTGGTACATGAAGTGAATATTCCCGAACAACTTTCACGTATTTTTACGGATTGTCAGAATTTTGCCTTTATTTTGATGGGAAATCGTCGACATTTTATGAATTTTATGAATTATCCTATATTGCACTCTATCATTGAATCCGATCAGTGAATTTAATCGGGAATTATTGCCCGACAACACGCGAGAAACATTTGAACCAGAAAAGAAGCATTATAATAATCGTGGACCTGTTCTCTTATCACTCGGAGATTGCAAAAAGTTTGTAATTGACATTCGATTTTACCGTCAATTTCAAATTTTATGGGACTTCGATTTCTGGGGTGGTGAAGTGGTTGGATATCCTTTGCTGTCTCTTTCTAAAATGAATCGGTGGGGTGGGAGGAAGAATCGGAGGGAATGCACTGGTGAGATAAGATCGCTCGTAAAACTGCTTCACCGAAGTTGTTGGAATGTAACTTCACCGGTTTTGTAAGCCTTATAAGGAAAACGGAGTGACTGAAGATACATAGGACCACTAGACCGGCTTAATGAATTTTTCCAATCATTTTTTCTTTTCGGACTTTCCTGGGGACTTGGAAATTTTTTGAGGATTTCAACACTTCTACTATTATAATTTCATAAACCAGATTTGAATAATTTTCCTCATTACCATAATTCTGCTGACGGATTTGTCCATAAAATTCGTAAGATTGGTAATTGATAAATTAAATTCTATCAATTTTTCTCCACCCGAAAACGATAAATAAAAATTCAAATCTCACGTAAAAATTCAATTAAGCACTGTAGGTTTCAAAATAATTGTTAATTAAGAATTTACGTTTGGCGCAATCTGTCGGAGGAAGCTTTACTCCTTGCATTGAATTAAATAAAAATCGTGGATTTTCTACGAATAATTTCCTCCCGTCGATAATGGAGTGATTCCAAGATCCAATAATAATCGTAAAAATTTTCAAATCTCTTTTATTGAACGAGAATTCATCAACTAGAATGAGGATAATAATTCTAATAAAAAAATTACAATAACTCATAACACTTTGAAATTTTAAATATTTGTATAACGTGGAACTCCCCCTCCACCCATCATTCTCGCGGATGAAAATATAATTCCTATCTGTCTTAACATTTCATATTCCAAACTATCTACCTTCTAACAGACTGGCAATATAAATAATTAAATCGTATTCTCAGTGTCCCACCGATTTATAATAAACAATTGCACTTGAGTTTTGATTAATCGTGATTAATAGTACGGATGTACATCAGAAAAAAATATATAAAAGATAAATATACGTAGAAGTGGAAGAAATTTTCAGCTATCACTTTATTGGGAACAGGAAATTATTTATAATCGACTAAATTCCCTCCTTTAATCGATTAATGAGCACCTCAATTACGAATATTAAAGGAAAAGTCAGGAGTCCCTGCATGCCCCACTTTCCTCCACAATCCTAACAACTACAATAGACGTCTCCAATTGGCTGTAATTACACTTAACATAATCTCTCTCCTCATTAACAACGACGATAATAATTTTGCACATGACGTGATGACTCAGCTACCAATGTAATACTGTAAATTATCCTCAAAAGACGCCATCCCGTAGCACCATCGAGTATAAATTAACAATTAATTAAAACGCGTTATCAATGTCGTGGCCATTATCGGTCGACTCTCTCTTGGCTGCGATAAGATTTTCCCATTGTGCTATCAAAGTACTCCGACGTCGGGGATTCGGCTGAAATATAACGATTAGTCATCAATAATTTGTTTTTATCCGAATAATGGATTTTAGGGAATGATGAGATCACCTTGTGTTTGCCTTTGTATTCCTTCTCAGACTCGTCATCAGTCAATGTATTCGATGATGTACCACTTCTCGGAAAACCCGAGCTGTCGTATATATCCGAGTCATTGTCATTCCCAATGTCGACTAAATTTGGTTGAGATTTCGCCAGCATTCGCGACCTCATTAATCTTTGAAACATGAATTAACGAGTTGATGAAAAAAAATTTAACTATCTCAATTATTTTTAATTATTATAACATACCCAATACTTGATCGCTCAAATTGTGTCTTGAGTGCATCGTAAAATATTTAATATGAATAAATGAATTTATTGGTCTCTAATGAAAAATTTAAGAAGGGGTTAATTAAAATAATCACCTCAATTCATTCTCTCGTTCTTTCATGTCGTTGAGCTCCTTCTGGATTTTCTGTTCAACTGGGACATATCCCTTCCTCGTAGGTGGCTGTTTAGGTTCATCATCCTTATCACTGTCATTGTATCCGTTATTGTTATTGAGACTTCTACCGAGTGCTTTTATGCTCAGTGGATTGAGAACGATAGTCGGGGTGGGTGGTGGTGTTGGATAATCCCCATTAGCTCCATTTGTCTTGTATATTTTACCACGAGTTGCTAGAAATCTGTGCATAAGACCCTTCTGACTGAATCCTGTTGCAAATCGCAGGGGTTGGGCTGTTGTACGGGTTGATATCACACCGTTTGTCATTTTTGGTGTCAGGTCTGGTGGATTTGACGTGAGTGGAGATGGCTCCAGTATCTGTGGTGTTGACGTTGTCCTCTTTAACTTTCCCGATATCAGGGCCTGTGGCATACGACGTACCTGGAGAAAAATAATTCAACACTTTCACCCAAAAATTTATTGACATTAATTCACGTGTGATCATCGAATTCCGTAAGGAAATCGTTGAAATCTGGGAAGTTTTCACTTTGAAGAATACCCACAGCTTTGTGGGCATAAAAATTAGAATGTCCATATAATTTTTTTGTAGTATAGGAGAAACCAGTGATAATTAGTGTGAGAAATCTGTCGGTTTATTGCTCATTTGAAACATAGAAGGCTGAAATGATAGCATCGAAAAAAAAAAACGGTTCGGTGTACTCAATTTACTCTGAAATCTCCTCAGATTTTCCATTTTCCGACTGAATGTCGTGAGAAAAATTTGAGACAACTGCAAAATTATTATAAAATATTTTTCAGTGCATTTTTTTGCACAATCTTGAGAGAAAAATAATTTTTGGAGTAAAAAATTGGGAACACGGCACGTGACGTTGAAAATTCACTGTAGAATTCTTGAAATATTAGTCAACAACTTTTTATTTACTCAATTCCACAACTTCAACGAGAGAATTAAATTGTTTAATGTTTAATGTGGGCATTCCATACCCTGTTGATTATAATTCATCCAAAAATCCGAGGTTGCATGAAGGCCACGCAATAAATGGCCCGAGGAATTTTTCTTATTCAAACGAAAGCATTTTTGGTACGTGACAACTATACAATGCATACATAGAAGTACGTGGGAAGAATTTTCATGAGAAGTACGCGTTTGTAAACAGCTCAGGGAATGCTCCGATGTATTATTACGCGGTCTAGCCAGTGATTGCATCTAGATCTTAGTCATCCACCCATAACGATCAACATCATCACTGAATTCTCATGACGACAGATAAAAAATCATTTTTCAAATGGACCTTCCGAAAAAATTCACTCCTCCCCTCAACGCAATAAATTCTTCACTTTTTTTTTTTACTCAACTTAAATTGCGCTATTACCAAATACACCGCAAATATTCCAGACGAAATTCAGGGCAATTACCTCTCATTTGCGGGTGGAAAAAAAAAATAATTGCGAAAATGAGTGATGAATGGAGCGAAACTTCTCAATATTTGGCAAGCATCCGGTGGGAGTGCGACTTTGACGTCAAATCGGGGAATTTACTGTGTACTTTCGAGGGGAAAAAATGAAACAGTTAAGCTTACCTTGGAGTCTACTGTCTCGTCTGATGTTGTCTTTATACTGCCGACGTTTCGCAGTTCGTGTTCTCGCTCTGTGACCTCTTCAATTTCCCGCTGAATCCTGTCAGTCGCACGTTTCAACTGCTCCCTCCTATGATCAGCCTGAGAAAACGCAATTTTTCTATTTTCTATTTATTTTTCTATATCACTCACATCAATCTTTTATTTCTACTCGGAAAACGCAATCTGGCTCATTTATTTTGCCTCGTTATCTGATAATAATCGGATATTTAATACGTAACTGATACAAGAAGTGGATTTCTTCGCTATTCGAGCATTCGGGGAATATCTTGAAATCTAACAGAGATAGCGAAATTCTTTTTGGAACCTTTTTTGCAGAGTACAATGAGGACTATAAAAAAGGTCACTATGAAAATTTCGGTATTTCTGTTGGATTCGGAGATATTTCGAGAAAACTTACCGATTTCGGGGAATGACTTGTTACTGTGAGGTTTTATTACTACACCGGGGAATTAAAGGCGGTTTGAGTGATTTGTTGAGACCACATTAGATGATTCTAAGGGGTATCATTACTGTGTGAAGATGATTGAGGACTGGATGAAGTTAATTCAATCGGGGAAACGTGGGCTACTGAACCTCGTGGAATGCCAAACCGAATCGAGAGAAGTGCGCACTCAGACTAACTGTATAACCCGGTGCTGCCAGTTTCCTTTCTAAAGTAAAAAAAAGGCCCCAAAAGGAAGAGGAGGCAAGTGAAAAAATGGGCCAGTCTGTTTATGACAGTTGCATATGTGCGACAGAGGGGGAGAATGAGAGATGCTACAGATGGATTTTTTTTTTTGCACCGGTGAAAGTCACCAATCGATCGACGACCGATCGAAAATGAAAAGGGGCTTTCCTTCTTGCGAGTTTATGCACAATTTCACTTAATTCGCGAGCACTCAGGATGACACAGGAGTGACTTTCGTCATTTTAATTCAGGATTTTTCCCCGTGCAACATATGCGATATTATTAAAAATCGTTATCTCATTCGATATCTCCAACTGAATTTTTTTTAACCATTTGAAATGATTTTTTTTCTGTTCCAGTCTCGCGCTAGCCGATGGTTGGTAGCCCCCGGTAATTCCCCGACACGCATTGTGACTCCTGGAGGTGATGCCCCGAGACCGACTGAAAAACGACGGGAAATAAAAATGACTGAATTTGAATAGCCGTTCGACTGGTGGATTTTCACCGTCACATTCTCGGTTAGTTCATCGAACCAGTCGTCCTGGTGCAAAAGCCCACGTACAAGGATACCGAGACATTGGAGATGAAGGTCGGGTCAGGGGGCCGAGAGTTCAGGAGCATTCCCCCCAGCCATTTAAAAACACCATGAGAATCCAGATGAATAATCCACCAATTCCCTGCACAAGTCTCCAGCCCGATCGCACTAGATCCTGCCATCCACATCAGCCTCAAGGTAATTTATCCTCACAGTTATAATTCCTCATTACTGCACTCGAAAAAAATCTCTATTTATTCTATTCTCGTTTAAATCAACCTTTGAATACCCGACAATTTTTTCCTGCTAGGAAAAATTCGCGACCGTCTCCTGATTAAAATAATCGATGGAATAAATTTAAGATGGAATTATTCCTTTTATTCGCAGTCGTGTAGGTTTACTCTTCTTTGAAAAGGGAAATTTTCCGTCGATTCGATATTCCTCAGAATAATTTCTCAGCGACATTCGTATATTTATAAACACGATTGACTCTCTTGATATCACCTAATGTGGAATCTCCAGTCCTCTCTCAATCCACGTTTGCACTGGGAAAAATAAATTCCTCCAGTGCAAATTTTAATCACCGATAAACCGCAGGATAAATCCGTCTCCCCCCGTTAATTCGCAATTTCTCGATTTCACCTCGGAAAAAATAGTTATAATCAATATTACGAAGAGATCATCTACTTTATTCGCCTTGATTTATTTTCCATTCCATTGGCTCATTAATTACGAGAATACGTAATAGACTGAAAATGTGTGTCAACGAAATTTCGTCGAGACGATTAATTGTCATTATCCGACATATTATTCCCGAAATTGTAAAAACCGAGTTTAAGCCGCGATAAACAGACGTAGAATGACAAAAATATTCATAACAAACTTAACTCACCTCCATCTTCATATTTGCCGGTTTTAATAAATCCCCAGTGTGAATATTAGAAAAACAGAAAACGTTTTATCAGGAAGTTGGTGTGATACTGAGTGCGCAACCAGATAGTACAAGTAACTTTTATTTTCCCTCGTTTTTTATCTGATGGCATAAGCGACGAGAGCCAGCTAAACGCTCGTTTATCATGACACTTATTACGTCACACTGATACATAGAACTTCACCTTCGTTACCTGTCTTGTACAAATATAGAGTAAATGAATAGTGAGCGATTGAAACGAAATGACTATGGGAAAAATATACAAGACGTCGAATTAATACTTTATCGTGAAGCAGTCGTTAATCTAGTTTGAGGTGTTATTATCCAGGATCACTGCACTCCAGTGACTTTAAAACGCTCACTTAAACCGCAAATAACAATGGAAAATAGTGGAAAACGTTGGGGTGGCAGCCGGTGAAGTGAGTTGGGCTCTTCATGTCCAGAGTCAACTATACACTGCCATTTTACCTGGCGTGACCTTGTTCACTTTAAAACCGTTCTCCAAACAAAAGCAATGAGACTTCATCGCACGGGTGCCCTCGCGGTTTGCCGTTTCTGCTCGATTTTCGCACGCACCCATGGGGCACCACCAGAGAGGGGCTTTTGACCCCTTATTTTGCCATTTTTACGGAATTTTTAATCAATCATTTGCATTATTAATTCGTGATTGCTGAGGCGGTGTCTTTATGTCTGGATTGAAAGTCCGACCGCCCGGGAAAATTCGGTCCACAGATTCTGTCAAATTTTTATGGAATTTATTAAATCAATGGATTTTTTTTTTTAATTAATCCGAGTGAAGGAGATTTAAAGGATTTTAAATTATTTGATGATGAGTCGAAGGAAAAAAAATTGTCAAAGTACGGAGTATTCGTTTTTTCATCGCGTTTCATAACCGATAATGAAAGGGAATAACCCGGAGTTGAGGTAGTCAGTTTAATTCTACCTCATAAATTTATTATACACCGATGCAACCATTAAATTTCTCTTATTGAGGAAATGCCTCTTCAGGCTCGGGATTACTGGTTTTTATTTTATTTTTATTTTTTCGTAAATAATGAGGATGGGTGGGGGAAGCAGATGTCATCGAGGTTTCGCATTGGATTGGGAAAATCGCGGATGATTCGAACGATTTGAACGCATGGTACCTCATTTGAGGTTAGGTGGAACATTATGTTTACGATTGCTCCGGAATATTGTTATTTCGACATACGGTACTCGTTACGTGGATAATTGTGCAAATTATCGGGACATAAAAGCTGTGAAAGCTGGTGATCAGGGATCCAGGATATTGGAAACGTGATGGAACACTTTGCGCCGGTTGTTAGTGAGTTTCATTAATTTATTGTTGATGGAGATTGAAGGGTTATTGATGGTTTTGATGATTTATGAAGCTTCACCGAGGACATCTCCTCATCAGAATCTGACAGGTGCCAAAAGAATTGTCAAGGACTTGACAGCTACAATACATACTAGTATTCAACAGTGGAATAATATTCATATTCATGGGGTTGATGTTCTTAAATCGATCACTGCCATGAAATTCGATGACTCTTTTCCCGAGGGACTTCAGGAATTGTGTGATACTTTGGAAAAAGATGTCGATCGATTGGTAAAAAATTTTTGTAATGAATGGATTGATTTCTGAAATTCATTTCCACTTAAGAAGAATTCACGGAGAAAAAATCAATTCTGATTTCCACAATTCTCAGCAATGAAAAAAAAAATTCATTTGCAGGATCAAGTGGTATCGAATTTGAAACTTTCATTTCAACAAATGACATCAGCAGTGTCTCTCCATAGAGGCCCAGAGAAATTATTCAAAACGTGGGGCAATGAGAGATTCGGTAAGACTGGATAAATCAATTCCCAGAAAATTAAACAGTCAATTAAATTCATTCCAATCCACCAGTGGAAATAGCTCAATTGATCTACGAAGTGTACAAGAAGGAGGCGGATTTGAAGCGAAAAATCCTGGAAAATGTTGCTCATGATTATCAGGACTCCTGGAAAATGCTGCACCTTGCTGCATGGGTGCATCAACCAATGATACCTCACGATCTCAACGTGAGTCTCGAGTCATTACTCATCGAAACTGGACACAGATAAAAAAATTCCTCATGAGAAAAATAAAACAACAATTTAAACATTACACTTTATTCTCAGGATTTATTTGCACATTTACGTAACATAAGATTATATCAATATCGACGTACAATCTCTCATACTCATTTGTTTACTATTTGAGCGTCCCTTACGCCTATATAATCCGCCCCTTTATCATCAGACCAATAGGAAATCTTCAATTCTCTATGGATGGAATATTCCGCGTATCAAAATAATTCTATTGATAGTATTGACTCTCGATAATACTTTATTATCTAACGAGAATTTCGCACAACAATATCTCTAAGTTTCTTTTTACTTCAAGACATTAAATGCAGTATTTGCAGATAGAATGTTGGTTTCAATTGCATTTCAATTCATCTACGGATTAAACTTTTATTCATTATGATTTATGTTCATCATTGATACTGTTAACGACTCAATGACATTTTATTACTCTCTAGTGCTATTAAATCAGCAGAAAAATTATTGAATGTAACAAGTTCTCCTTCCATCTTCCCAAAATTAATTTCTCATTTATCTCACGGATGATTAATTCTATGAGAGGAATTTCCGTTTTTTTTTCTATTGTATTTAATCATCCTCTGCTACAACACATATTATTAAGTATTCGTTTCCAACTCTGTACAAGTATTTACAATGATGAAATTTTAAATTTCTCTAATTTCAATTGATTAAGTAATTTATCAAATAGTTTATCCGAAAATCAATTGACCAAGAAAAATAAACTAAGAGATCGAAAAAATACAGGTTGTTCCGAACCCGTCAGCACACGGCAAAGACTAGTTTTAATAGTTTCACTCCAGCTATTTTTCAGGATAAAAATGTGTACTAAAAAGTAGCAAGTCAGGCCCCTTTAAAAATAAACCGTGTATATCGCGCTCAATAATTGCTCTCGATGAAGTACCTGCAGGAATTGTACTGAACAGTACCAAACCAAATGCTAATAATATTTACATTAATTTTAATCATGCACATCTGTGCCATCTCTTAATGATTATTAATTTGGTATCGAAGGATAAGCATCACCTCCCAGGAGTGTGCACTCACAATATCCCACGTGTAAAATCGAAATGAAAAATTAAATCAACTCCGTGTATTTCTATTGAATTCTTCACTGAGCGCCTCAAAATCGAGTTCGGTGTCTAAATTCGTAGTATTTGGCATCAAATTATTCTCCAAAATATTATCCGGGATGATATTCTTCAGTCGTTCAGAGACCAACTCGTCTACCAAGTTGGACTGATCTACCAGATGCAATTGCTCCACCAATTTTTCATCCATCATCAGGTGTTTATCCATAACTGCACTGTAATCCAAATGGCCAATTGGATCCAGATTATCGGTCCCACCGAAAATACTGGCATCACAATTTGCATTCATAATTGGAACAGTGTCCTGGAGTATGGGCAAACTCTCTGGAATTTTACAGTTGGATTTATCGCCATTCAAACCCTCCGGTTTGTCGCAAATAATTTTTTGAAAGCCCTTGGTAAAATTCTGACCATCATCCAAATCCTCAAAGTCATTTTCCAATGTACCCACGGTGTTATTTTCCAGTTTAATGAAATTCTGTTGCATTGGCTCAAGTTTTATGAATCCCTGGGACTCCACTTTCTGGTCAAAAATATCAAGACCATTTTCCTCATTTTTCTTGAACGTTGGGCTCTTGGAGCTATTAATATCCACCTTCTGGAATCCAGGATTATCAGAAATCTGTTTTTGAATTTGGGGACTGGATATCAACAGCTTTGACACACTATTTTTAATAGTCTCTGCTACAGGACTGGAATTTCTTGGCATTAATGTCAATGCTGTGAGGACTTCAGGACAATTGGGATCTTGTTTTCGTTCAGTCAAAAAATCGGAGACACTGAGGTCAGAGCTCTCTGAGAACCCACTGGAGAGTCTCTCCTCGATATTCTCCTTTCCCTCGTCGTTTCGCAATTTTTGGAGCTTCAGGGGGGGCTCTTCGGGAACTGCCATATCGAGATTGTGGTAAGGCTCTGGTTTCTTGAAAACATCATCATTGACACTGTAGAGCCCTGGAACAAGTCCCAAAGCATCGCACAACAGTTCATCCCTCAGTTCAATGAGGTTCTGCTCTTTGTCTCCGTCGACTACTGGTGATAACATAATTCCAGCCTGCTCTCGTATTTTTTCCATAAAAACTTTCAATTCGGTGAGAAATAATTTCACATTGTTGTCAGATTTTATCGCCATGAGGTCAAATAGTGATTGAGCATTGAGGACTGGTTTGGCAGCTATTTTTGAGATCTCTCCACTGTCACAAACAGAAAGTGCCTCTCTAAGTTTAGTCTGTCGTCTTTCGGATTTGGCTTCTGGTGTGGCGTAAGCCCAGGGCCCTCTCTTCTTGCCCTTTCGTTTGAAAGAGTCCACGGTGAGAGGTGGTGATTTCTTGTGCTCCTCGGCACATCCATTCGACGTTAATGTCGACGAGGGTAGGAGTTCGATACTCCCGTGCTCCGGGAAGAGCTCGAAATGCTTGGCCAGTCTTGCTCGACCGAGATACATCTTGTTACACGTGGAGCAACGGAAGTGGGTGGAAACTTTGCGTTTTGGTAGCTCCAGGCCTGTTAATAACACTTTGGTCTCCTCACCTTCAATTTGAGGATTTATTGTGTTGGTGTTGTAGTCACTGTAGCCACCATCCGAGTCGTCGAGATCTGGTTGCATAAAATCCAATGGGTGGAGGTGTTTGTAGTCACGTACCATGTGACGAGGCGGTCGAGATAGACGACCCGATCTTGTGCGAGCAACTACTTTTTTACGATCCTCCTGGAAATAATTTTTATTTTCAATCCAATCGTAAAAAATACAGAATTTTATTTTTCAATTTAAATCGTAAGGAAATTGTGGTAATTTGGCATTTGAATTCTCCGCTATACCTTTAACTCATCATTTTCCTCGTCAGTCATTCCCACTTTGACAGCAGCCACATGTCTTCCAGGCGCTTTTTTCGGTCTCCCTCGTTTGCCTCTCCCAGTTTTCAGCAAATTCCCTGGATTTCTAATCCTCAAATCCAACTCTTCGGGGAAAACAACTCTAAAAAAATACAATATCGATAAAATTCCCTGAAATTCACTAATAAATTTCTCGATCGTCACTACACACCTGTAAACAACTTTTTCCTTCGACCCCGGGGACTCCTGCTGTCCCCGTTGTTGAAGCACTTGAGCAATTTGCTTCAACTGCGTCTGTGTGAGTTTTTGATTGCTATGAAACGTGTGCCCCTGTTGTACAATCTGTATCGGATTCTCAAGACCATTGGCAGATTTATCTTCCACTGGTACCGAAGGTACCAAAGGAGGAACCGGTCGTTCAGTGATTTCACCCTTCGTTAACCCCTTCGCCTCATTAATCACCACTGCCTTCGTATCATTATTCATAAAATTCCCCTGTAGATTATTCGAATTATTATTTTGTACCGTTCCCCCCTCGCCGCTAGGGATCTGCGGACTGATCGTTATCTTCTTAATAATCTTCGTAGCTGAAATTCCATTTGGTTTATTTCCATTCGTCACCACTGTCTTCTGGGGCTTTAAAATTGACAACTGATTCTGAGGCCGAACATTTACATTATTAATAGTCTTTAAATCCTGAGTATTCACACGAGTTGTCGTAGTTTTGAACACAACTTGGGAATTACCTCCTTTGGAATTCGTGGCTATTTTTTCTGGGAGAACAGACGTCCTGACAATTTGCGTTGAGATTGGAACAGATTTTACTAGTGATCTAGATGTTTTTCCATTCATCCCCTGAGGTGTGACATTTCTCACAGTCTCAGAAGTTTTGACTGAATAAAATTGCTGATGTCTCTGGATATTCTGGACATTGTGGATATTCTGTCCAGTTTTTACGAGTGGAGGCAATCGAAGCTGTCCATTTACCCCATTCACCATCTGAGTATTTATTGTTCCATTTCTGGATCCCTGATGGCTCCCATTCATCGCACTAGTTTTCTGGATGGAGTTCATAATAACTGAATTCTGCGAGGGACATGTCCACCCAGAGGCATTCGAAATCAATGATTTATTTGTATTGGAGACTAATCTGAATGTCTTGCCAGTCTTCAGGACAGTTGGTACTGGTTTCATCATGAATTGTGACTGTGTCAGGGGTGCAGGTGGTCTCTGCACAGCACCTGGGGTCTCCTGAATATTCTGTGTCAATCTTCTGTTCAACATCTTAAGATTCTGGTGATTCTGGAGAACGAGGGATCTCGCCGATCGATTTGGCATGTCCTCCTCACGATAACTCATCACCTGGGAAAATTTTTCTTCTTCAATCTCGATGGGATTGTCATGGTATTCAAAATCACCAGGATCCTGAATCCATTCAGAGTCCGCTGGAAACTCGATGTCATCGATTTGTGACTCCTCTTCAAGAATGTCATTGAGGTGTTCCTCACTCTGTGGTTGACTTATCACACTGGATTTTTCTTCGTTGAATGAGTCGACCTCAAAAGTTAACCCCAAAGCTGCAGCTTGCTCGTGAGTCAGACGAAATGTCTGATGCTGGCCTCCGTCATCTTTGAAAAATGCCACAAACTCGTTATCACGTTTTTCGTCGTCAACCACATCCTGGAATGCCTGTTGAAGAAGGTCTGCACCACTGCAGGCAATCCCTTGATTTGTAAACACTGAGAGATTGTCAATTTCCGCCATATTTGGGAAATTTTTCAACGATTAATCATTCACGCGGTTTTAGTCGGACTTTATGACATTCGCTGCATGATTTTTTGGGGCTCTTCTGGGATGGGCTGAGTCCTTGGGGAACTTTTGGAATTATGGCATTTATCAAATCACACACCTGCACGTTTTTCGTGCAAACAGAAAACACGAATTTCATCGACTTGAACTTGGCCATTTGAGGAGGCGCCATCTTCGCATCTCGTTATCTAGATAAAATTACACGGGCGAATTGAGAATTTTTTTGAAAATCAACCGCGGTAAAAAAAATTACTCCGTAAAAACGGGATATTCATTCTTCATTTTGATAATTTTTATCGTAGAACTCAAGTCGAGATTTATGAAAATTCTTGAATACCTGAAAATTCAATTTTAAATCGAATGATACTGCCTCACGTAAGAAATCAGTATTTATTTGGCTCCACGATTATTTAAATGCAAGTGTTACAATAATAAAAATTGAGACTTCCCTCAATCTGTTTTTTTAACATCAACTGGAATTTTGGGGATTTCAAAGTCCAATTGCTTGATCATCCACTGAAAAAATGCGAGAATAGCGAAGCTGAAGGATAACGGGATAGCCGTCGCCCTAATCCACCCCCAAACACTGTCAAATAAGAAAAAAAAAATCAATATTAATAAAAAAACGTGTGTAAAAAGCGAATATCGATATGCAAACCACAAAATTCCATCAATATTATCATTATTTAAACAATTCATCCACAATAATGATAATTCAATTCAAATTTTCATGAAAGTGATAAATTTATTATGACAACTATGAAATATTACAATAAGCAATTTAAAACATTAAATTCATACCTCAGAAAAATAGAGACTAGAAAAAAACAAAATTTTTCCTACCGTCCAGTCTTGAGTGAATTATAAAAAAATACAGAGATAAAAAATAACACTACAACTCTACAAATAGCTCGTATGGGAAAAATTGAATAAGTTACGGTTGTTCTAGCCGATACAAACTGGATCTAATTCAGTAATCGTTTGACACACAATTTACCAACAGGACTGGTTACCCAGGGGTTTTCAATGCTCTCTGTGTAGCTGTCATGTTTCAGTTTATTATGAATCAAAACCCAGTGAAGATTTACTGCATAGCAAAATGCAACAGTGGAAGAATCACTGGTGGTCACGTAATCGACGATTTTGCTAGGATGAAGACCGACGTTGTCCGGAGGAATTAGATATGTAGGTCGAACAGTTTACGAAGCCAATACGCACTACACCACCTTGACATTCAATATTACTATTTTTTTATTGTTCTAATTCCCTTTGGTTTCGTTCAATTACTCTTGCATTCAATGAGGACAACGTGACGAATTATTTTTCGTTCCCTTCATTCACCATTAATGTAAATTCGGATATTAATCACTAAAATTGTGCTGATAAAAAAGTGTTAAATAATTTTTTAGGGGCGATTCGGGGCGATTCAGGGCTGGAATTATTGTGTTGTCCAATTTAAATGCAAATTTCAAGCAAAATGGGGGAAAAATACTTTTCAATGCGAGCTGAGGACTAGTCTAAAAATAATCAGGGAAAATAAAATCGGGAATCGGTTTATATTCAGGAGGTGTACTCGTATGGATCGTCAGAGATGTCGAAAGGCTCTGGTGTAGGGATTTTTCCACTCTCCAGGATCACCACTGGAGCTATTGGAGAGTCCTCAGCATCTGTTTTAGTCTGTTCGATCTTGAAGAGAACGTCCTGACCCTCTATGACCTTAAAAATTATTTTTTAAGACGATATTTTATTTCTTGATTTTTCTCGGAGGATTACCTTTCCAAAAACTGTGTGATGGCCATCTAGCCACGGAGTAGCGACTGTTGTAATGAAAAACTGACAGCCATTTGTATTTTTACCAGCATTTGCCATAGATACAAAACCAGGTCCAGCGTGATGTATACCATTATCCTCATCCTCGAAGTATTTTCCGTAGATACTGATCGATCCATTTCCATCGCCCTTATCAATATCTCCACCTTTGAACGGTTTTTTTTTTAAATTAAATCTGGGGCCAATTACACGCGCGAATTACTCGAAAATTATCGTAGGGAAATATCAGGATAATCTAATATTGTGATGAGGATGATGATTATCGGGGATTTAAGGATAATTCTTGAACTCGACGTACCTTGGATCATGAATTTTTTAACGACACGATGAAATTTCGATCCAGCGTACGTTCTTCCTCTGATCCCTTCAGTAGCAAGAGACACGAAATTTTTCACTGTTTTCGGTGCTTGCTCGCCAAATAATCCGATTACTATTCTACCAATTGGATGATCGTCTATCATTACATCCAAGAATACTCGATCCGTCACTTTGTATTGAGTTGCCTATGAATTTTTATAAAAAAAAAGAAAAAAATGTGCAATACCTTTATAAAATCCGCGCATCCGCCAAAAATTGACAAATTCAATTGAATTAATGAGTTAAAAATTGAACATGAGTGTAATTACCTCGGCCTCGTAGAGACCAACGACAGCGATAACGAATATTACGAGGAACTTCATTCTTGAAGAGTGAAACTTGTGCGGTTCAATCGCGTGTTGGATGCGGAATAAACCTGAGCCCTTCCACGAGTTGGGAAAATCAGTGAAAAGAATACGCGGCGTGTTAATTCGCTTGCAGTCGACGGTACGACTGAATGCCAACGCCGCTGCCAACTCCACTGTCAACGAGTGTCCGAGGGCTGGCGTGACGTACCCCCTCAATCGCTCATTGAGCTCTAATCACTCCAATGATTAGACAATGAACTCCCCTCGGGTACATATGCGATATTCTCCATAAACCCTGCAGTGATTTTTCCGGATATTTGAGATTTCCTTGAAATTCTCCACAATTTTCCAGAACATGAAAAACCCATCGCGTTTTCAATTTATTCGGACAACTCGTTTTATTATGAATAAATTAATTGTCTTCGACCAACAATTATGGGCCCCTTTTTAGGTGGAGGGAATGATAAAATAATATCTGCGGATATTTTTTTATGATTATTTATTATTTTGGTAAATGTTCATGTGTATCTCCGATATTTTATTATCAACTCGCGAAAACCAACGGCAAATAATTGGAAATAATACGGTGAAAATTGTGGATTGCCATTGGTACTTGACACCAGGGTGGGGTACTTGGTGTTTTGCCCACGGCGAAGATACCGTTACCCACTGGGTGAAGGTTTATAAAAGAGGACGGAGTGGATCGTAAGGTCAGTGTCCACATTAGACCGAGGTGAACAGAGAAGATGACCGGACAGAACCGGGTGATCGCTTTCGTGGCAATTTTGCTGGCTTTTGTCAATGATTCCACCTCACTGGATTTATCCCACTCCAGGGACATCCGGAGGGTTTTCAATGAATCAGAAGAGGCCAGACAGCTCGATTTGCGGATTGAAACCGAGGTTGAACCCCTCGATGCTGTGATTGTTAAAGCCGTTGAGATACCCGAGGAGAAGATCACCTACGAGGGCTCGCAACTCTGGAGGGTTAATGTCGCGGGAGAGCAAGTTGATTTTGTTAATTACTTGCAAGAAACCGGTGGTAATTATTTATTTTTCTTTTTATTGGAATTATTTTTCTATTACCGATTTTTTGAAGCTCAAAATTTTTCTCGTGGAAGACGAAGAGAAAGATGAAAGCAGCTACCGATTTATGACCAAATAATTCCGGGATTAGCAATTCAAATGACAATCCACAGGAATTTTCTTACCCATAAAATTCCACATTGTTCTTTGTTTCATTTTAATTACAGAGGTATCGAAATGGACTGGTAATGACTCCGCGGTCGATGTCCTCGTTCGTCCTGACATGATACCCCGCGTCTCGCGCTTCCTCCGCGAACGCGAAGTCAAGTACGATGTAATTATACCAGATCTGCAGCAAGCAATTGATCAAGAGAATCCAGTGGATGAAGAAGCACTGGAGGAACTAGCTGGACGCAAAGGTTTGGAGAAAAAAAAATTGAAAAATTACTACTGAAACAGGCCATGGAAAAATTTCCATTGCCATTTCCATGGTCATACCGCAATTTTTATTGCAACGTGAAGCGGATTATTTTGAATGGCTTTGGGCTCGATAGTTTATTGAGAGAGGACGAGTGATAAGGCGAGATTATTCTATCGGGGTTATCAACCTTTGAATTTTATTTGACTGAGTCAACCCAGTTTCTACACTCAATCGACAATACTGATTAACATAACAGTTATACACTACATGATCTCTCACTTTTTAGCTTTATATTTCTTTCTAATCCAATCATTCGAAATGGAATGGAGAAAATAATCATAAACACATAAATGATCCATTAGATTTCCTCTGCAACTGTCAGTAAAAATTTTTATAAGCGAAAAATTTGATTCACTTCAAAAAATGGAAAGCAAAAGTTATTTTTTAGCTCGGTACACATGGTGGAAGACATTGAAGTTGAGACGTAATTCATATGTGCGTCCGTCCTTCATTAGTCCGAATGGTTATTCAGTATCTAGAAAAGGTGGTGGAAAAACTCCGTGGCATTTTAGGGGTGAGCTTCTCAGGTGCTTTATTCAAATTACCCCACGCTAAATAGATACGGCATGAATTATTAATAAATATAAAAAAATGGAGGAATGAAGGGATAAAATAGTATGGCGTGTCGAAAGGTCATCGAATGGAGTGGACGAGTTATCATCACCTGGAGGATATCCACGGTTATCTCGATTATTTATCAGAGACCTATCCGGAGATCTGTTCTGTAATGTCAATCGGTAATTCCGTGGAGGGGAGACCTCTGAAGGTAATTGATTCCCCCGACGAACAATGACCTGACAATAATGAATTTTTTGTCAACCAGGTCCTTCGTATATCGAGGGGCGAGCCAAATGTACCGGCAATTTGGATCGACGGTGGCATTCATGCACGTGAATGGATTTCACCTGCCTCCGTCACGTACATTATAAATTACCTGGTGGAGAACAGTGACGAGCTAAAAGCTGATTACTATGTTCTGCCTGTCGTCAATCCCGATGGATACGAGTACACGTTTCGTGGTGATAGACTTTGGAGAAAGAACAGAAGTAGTCCGGAAAAAGGTGGTGTGTGCATCGGCGTGGATTTGAATAGAAATTTTGGGTATCGTTGGGGTGGACTGGGTACCAGCAAACAACCGTGCAGAGAAATTTTTGCTGGTACTGGGCCATTCTCAGAGCCTGAAACTGCCGCCATCAAGAATTTTTTCGATGCCAGTGCAGCTGATTTCAAAGTGACTACAACAATATGAAAATTGCACTATTTTTCTCATAAAAGTCCTGTTAATTAATTTATTTGGTTTTTATTTTTTTTAATTCTTCCAGGGATATTTGACATTCCACAGCTACGGTCAGTACATCCTGTATCCCTGGGGGTACGATCGTCGAGTTCCCCCTGATTACGCTGACCTCGAGAGATTGGGTCAGCAATCAGCTCAAGCAATGAAATCAGCTGGTGGATCTGGGAGTATTTATACAGTGGGGAATAGTGCAACCACCTTGTATGCAGCAGCTGGTGGTGCTGATGACTGGGCTAAGGCCTACCTCAAGATCAAATACGCATATACCATCGAACTCAGGGACAAGGGCAAGCACGGCTTCATTTTACCAGCTAATTACATTATACCAACGGCCAAAGAGGCACTTGCTGCGGTATTAACTGTCACTGAGGCATGCACCAAGTTGTAAAATTGCATCAGTATTTTAATTCCATTAGACATCTGAATAATCGTGATTACTTTAGTATTTAAAACCCTATCTCTTCCTAATTATCCCCATTATATTGTTTATTAAATAAATATAATGGCTTGTTATCATTTTGTTCAATATTTTATTGCAGCTATTTTTTAAACATTGGTATATATCAAACAAGGCGAAGAAACGTTGAATAAAAATTGATAAATCATTTGATTGTTCGAGATTTTTAGAGAGTATTTTCAATTATTTTTGATAGTTGAAAAAAAAAGGATTGACTTGAAATTTGGCCGGAAAGAATGGCGCCAGAATTTTGCTATCTTTTCCCGCCCTTTTCAAATGGCCATTATGACATCCGCAAGGGGGCGGCTGCGCGCGCGTCTCGCGTATGTTTTTTCCCCTCCTCAGAGAAACGTTTATTCACGCCTGCAAATGGAAATGGTGGCATTGCCTCGTCAACCCAAGTGCTTTTTTTTACTCGTTTAACTATTTTACTCTCTCTCACAAACAAATCAAGGCAATACCTGAAAAATCAACCGGCAAATAATCCATGAATCACTGACAAAATCTGACATTTCAGACATAAAATTCAGTGAGAAGACGAGATGAAACTACTGAAAAAATACTCGCCGGGGGATAAGGTATTCGCTAAAGTTCGAGGTTATCCGCCTTGGCCAGCCAGAGTGAGTAATTCATTCAACATTCAATAATTTTTCTACAAAAATCTGAAGAGCCCCCCATAATCATGTATAAAGAGCCCTCCAAATATATTCCTAAATTGTTTACGAGAATTCAGATAATTTTATTCATGGAGTTGTAAAAAAATCGATGCGTTGTTTTATTCAAGTCATTGGTTGATTGACACGTATCAACAGAACAACTGAATTAAACCGTCTCCCCAATTTTTTTGTGCAGGTCGAAGGAGTCACAGACGCCAACACAAAAAATGCCAAATACAAAGTGTTTTTCTATGGAACTGGCGAAACGTACGTACTCCATTTTGTGTTCATTGAAACATGAAAATCTTATTTCACATTGAGTCATTTTGTTATTGTCTATTTGGGTTTTTTTTTCTGGGTTGCCAGGGCTGTCTGTAAAGTCGAGGAATTGTTTCTTTATGGGGAAAATAAAGAGAAATACGGTAAACACTTGAAGAGAAAAATATTTCACGAGGGATTGCAGCAGTTAGAACGAGAGCTCAATAACGATCAAGGTAAGGGAGACACAGAGAGAAAAATGATGAGAGTTTCTCAATGAAGAAGAGAAGGGTAATAAAATAATTTTGGTTGTTATTATTTTTTTTTTAAGTAGAAGCTGTTGAGACGGAGAAAGAGACGAGGCCATCCTCGGAGGTGCCAACAGCTGTGGGACTGGACAGTGATTTGGAAACTGGACCACTGGTCATTGACGAAGGCGAGAAGAAGAAACAACTGAAGAGGAAATCGTTAGCTGTCCCCATCCTCTCGGTGAGATAATATGTACTTGTGGAGGTGTCCACACGGAAAATTGGGTTGTGACATTTTTTTTTGAGTTGAAATGTCACACTCGAGTTTTTTTTCCAATAGAAATTGTTATTTATTCATAGGAATTGCCGACAAGCTTGTCTACAGTTTAACGAGCTTGTGCGATTATTCCATACATTAATGAGAGTCTGAATAAAAAATAGGAAAATGACGAAATCTGTCTGTTTAATTCCGCAGCAAGATTCACCAGAGCCCAAGAAAAAACGAGGTCGCGCCAAGAGTTGGTACGCAGCAGATACCGCAAAACCAGAGACAAACGATTCCGTGACCGAGGACTCGAGCAAAGAAGTTGTAAGTCGCAGTGGTCGAAAAATCAAGCCCAAGCGTTTCGCTGATTTTTCGTCCTCCGACGAGTTCGATATGGAGAATTTTGCACGAGGTCGTGGGCGAAGCAAAATGGACGATTCCCAGGAAGTGCCTCCCACGCCCTCGATCACCAGAAAACGAGGGAATCCCGACAACGATAAAAAAGAGGAGAAGAAAGCCTTCCCCAAAGAAGAAACACCAAGTCAACAGAAGTCAAAGCTCAAATGGCTGAGAATGGAGATTCAACTTCTCCAACTGGACGCCCAGATAACATCAAATCTGGGACTGGACCGGGCCAATACTGAGGAGTGTCTTGAGGCCATGGACGAGATGCTGGGACTCTCAATTGAGCCCGTAATGCTCAAAAAGCATTCTCACATTGTGGAAACAGTGAAAAAATTAAGAAGATACATCGGAAATGTCGCCGAGTGGAATCTCACAGAGGACCAAGTGTTATCTTTCAAACAAAAAGCTGAACTCATTCGACAAAAGGCTGAGCACATTTACAACAAATTCAAGACTTTCTTCATAATTCCGGAATCTCAGTCCTTCTGGCAGACATTCTCAGATCAAGTTGAACTTTTCAAAGAAGCCACTAAACACATGAAGGAGGAAGCTGTTTTTACTCTAATGATTGATCCGACTCTCTCAGAAATTCAAAATCAACGGGACGATCCATCCAATGATCAAATTCCTGACACAACGGTGGATACTGACCAGGATACGTCGACGACGACGAGTGCAACGTCCAAGTAACATTTATCATTAACTCCATGTCCCTCACATTCAGATCATTCATTTTTTGATAATGAAAATCGTCGCACTAATAAATTCACAGACAATCTAAATCATGAGTGAATTATTTTTAGTGATTTGATTATTCAATTGCTCTTCACGGTATTATTATTATTATTATTAATGGATGATGTACATTGAATTCAGAGTTTCGGGGGATATTTGATTTAGTTTACTTTGAGGGATTGCAAGTGGACAGAACAGAGTAGAAAAGTCTTCGTAATTAGTCGATAATTATATTATTGTTTTGGATTTTATCGAGATCATTGTTTTCATTATTCGGTGGCTCTTAATGTTTTATTTTCGTTTAACATTAAACTTTTATGGATTTTCTGCTGTTCTTTCTTATTTTGATATTTCAATATTTCGTTTCATTTTAAGATTTGTGGATAATTGTTTGAATTCAGTTGTGATGAGATCATTTCTTTACGGATTAATGTGAAAAATTGGGTGATTTGAGATCGGGAGAAAATTAATGAATAATTCGTGAAAAGAGCGTTAATGATTCCAATGCTTAAAACACTTCAGTTTCACGTGAGAATAACGATTATGGAATAATCGTGACGAATCGCCTTAATATTCTTGTACTTTTAGAACTGCAAACGGAAATTTTCGGGCCGAAGAGATAATACCTTTGTATCTCAGGAGGGTGACAGTATTTTTGTGGAGATATTTTAATGAGTCATTCTGATCTACGAAAAAATTTATTGAAGGCATTTTCATCTCATTTTCAGCATCTTCCTGAGATTCTGATAATCTAAACATTTTATCTCTTCGTTGTGCAACGATTTTGTAGTCGATGCTGAAAATACGGAATGTGAGGAATATCGAGAAAACATTGGAACAATGATAGAAATAAAAAATTGCATTATATTTTTGGTAACCAAAATTTAAGAAATTTCAGTGTGTAATGTTTAATCCGTAACTCCCAGAGGAGATAATTATTTTAGTTTGAACTTCACAATGTAAGGATCATTCGTAATAAATAGACTGTGGAGTTTATATTATCGAGTGATGTTTTTGTGGCGGTTGTTGGCAAAGAGGACTGACGAAAGTAGAGGCTCAGTTCGGGGGGTTTGAGTGACCCCACCGGCATTGTAGTACTTCACTCCAAGAGATAGGGGTACCACATGCTCCCCGGATACTTTTTGAAAATTTCGAATTTTTCAATTTCAGTGAATACCTCCTCGATCCTCATGCTCCCCTGATACTTTTTTAAAAATTTCGAATTTTTCAATTTCAGTGAATACCTCCTCAATTGTCATGCTTTCCTGATACTTTTTTAAAAATTTCGAATTTTTCTATTTCAGTGAATACCTCCTC